AGATAAGGGAAAAACAGAGGATGCTCATACTTCCATCAAAGGAAGTGACTCTCTTATCTGCTTTCCCACACTAGCAAAATGTTATTTTCCCATCAAAATGAAAGAATATTTAATTCTAAATTATTATTTTAGACCCGGGGCTATTCGGATCTCACACTTACTAATGTCATGTTTATCACGATATTCAAATGGTATGAAATGTTGGTCAAGTAGACAGGAATTGAAAATATGATAACTTAAATTTTTTAAGATATGATATATATTTTTTCTAATGTTAGCGATAACAAACTGTTTTATTAACAGCCAAATATCAAATAGTAATCTGCCAATGAATAAAATTTTGCAAAAAAATGGACCAAATATTTAAACTTGACACTCTTGAAAACCACTTAAAACATATTTTGTGTTTGCCGGTAACCTTGTATTATGTAATTTTCCTATTTAAATGCCACCATATTGCTAAGTTTGATAGGAAAAAGCTACTGTTGCAAAAGGAGGTTGAAGTTAATTCAACCAAAAGTAGAAGGTCATGATCAACTGGTACTACCGTGTTTCCCCGAAAATAAGACAGTGTCTTATATTAATTTTTGCTCTGAAAAATGCGCTAGGTCTTATTTTCAGGGAATGTCTTATTTTTTCCTGGAAGAAGAATTCACATTTATTATTGGACAAAAAAATTCCGAAGTCGACTTAGACGAGAGTGACGTATATCCGGTGTGTCGAACTGTCGCCTTTTTATAGCGTCAACATCGGACTCGATGACCAATTAGTGCTTACTGAACCGTAGCACTATGCAAATGTCATGTGGCGTGATTCCCGGCCGACCAATTAGCCATCACCAGCCGTAACGTTATGCAAATCTGTGATTCCCAAGCCATAGTCTTATGCAAATCATGCCGTGTGGCGTAATTGTCTGCTGACCAATCAGTGGCTGTACTTTCAAAAAGCCAACGGCCACTTTCAACCATCTGTCGATGACCGTTACGACTAAAAATAACTTCGCTAGGTCTTACTTTCAGGGGTAGGTCTTATATTTCGCAATTCAGCAAAATCTGTGCTAGGTCTTATTTTCTGCGGATGTCTTATTTTCGGGGAAACACGGTAATTAATACAGGTCTACTATTAATATTTGAAAAGTAATCCATTTTGGATGGGTTGTGATGATCCGCAAGGTGATCAAAATTGCTAACCTTAACATCTGAAAGACCTTCATATGACTTGTTTAAACAAAAAAAAATCTTGTAAAAATGTGAGAATAATTGCTTTTATGTAATCTCTTAAAAAAATATCTGCTGAAACCAGGGTGAAAAAGTAAAGCTCATCAAAAACATCTAAACAAAGGAAATTTTTGATAGTTGTGGCATAAAAATAGTGGACGCAGATTTGACAGTAAGATTCAACATGTAAATAAAGTGCACATTAAACAGATTACAACTACAGGAAATTTTAAATGAAACAATATCACCATGATGATAAATATGAAAAGTGAACAACAACACAGGAAAAGACTTTGAGCTCTACTTTGTGCCTGAAAATCATTGCATGTACTGTATATTAGTTTGGCTGAACATTAGAACATCTTTAAGCAGTATTAGTGAAGGAAGTTTGGGGCAATGGGTTTGAGTTAATAAGAGGAGATAAAATTGGGAGGAACAGTCTGTTGAAGTTTCATGGTAGTTAAGTATGTGAGATCCAACCTTGAAGTAAGGCCAAAATTGTTCATTTTTCCCCCCTAAATTTTTGACGTATGTGAAATAAATTTGTCACCTCCTCGTTAAAATAACATTGTCAGGAAAAAAGGAATCAAATATTGATAGAAACTTATAACTTTCATCGTTAATATAAACATTCAACCCTCAAACAATGACATTCCTCTGCTGCAAGACAAAGAGTTTATAGTTAAAGTTCGAATTTGTCATTTTGCTTTGGTCTCGGGAACAACTTTAACCCCCACACCTGCAGGACCAACTCCACCTCTCACAATAGGAGATCACATGACTAATTTCCCCAGCCCGAAGCTATAAAAGCGATTGCTTTTCCTCTCCTCGGGGAGTCTCACATCTACGGCCGTCAGAAAGGGTTAAGTCTCGGAGGAATTTCTAATCGTGTGCGTCGATCACCATCAAAAAGGACTATATTTTCCCATCTACTTAGGAAGTATACTAGAGGTATGGAGCAGTTAATGTAAACTCTCTCTCTGCGAGTTAGGAGCTAGCAAACAAAATTCATTTCTCAAGATGTTAGAGTTTGTAATCGTTAATTTTCGTTAATCTAATAAATCGTTGTTTTCATTGTTAACTGGTGTCATTTACTCGCATATCTCCTATGCCTAATCGACGACTCCTCGCACCTCTTCCACTGGACCTGACAAAAAAGAATCCCAACACTTCGGGACTGCATTTGAAATTTAGCCATCTTGACAAGTGAGCAGGTTTAACGACCTGTAGCCAGAAAGAGAGCCTCCAACCTCCCCGGCGGTTCACAAGTATGTCCTCATAAATATCAGGTTTAAAAAAAAATTATTAGAATTGGTTTGGTTTATTTGGTTACAGCAACACGACACCTCAGTGATCTGCCAAGGAGGATCGGTTAATCTTTACCTATGTGCATCGTCATGGCTGCACTTCTGGAATCTCGACAGCAAGCATCTTTTGAATTTCAATGTAGGTGGCGTTGTTAGTAAATTTCAATAATTTTATCGTCTGCTTTTGCTTTTGGCACTGTGACTAAATTTGAATAATTTTCAATAAATTTGAATCGACCGAATCAACAAAGCAGGATGTCACTACTGATGTCGGAGAATCTAGTTCTATGTACAAAAAGTGTAATAAAATGGAGTAAAACTTATTTTTATGGTCTTGCAAGTATTTAACTGCTATGGTGGCAGTTGCGACTGTTCGTGCTCCCGATAGACACCTCCCAGAGGGGAGCCGCCAGCAAGCCGCTGATTGTATAACATCACTAGTTACTGATTCACAATAGTTCTTGTACACACGTATCAATAACTAGTGACATTAAACAATCAGCAGTCTACCAGTGGCTCTCCTCTGGGAGATGTTAGTCAGGAGTGTGAACAGTCGTGACCGTTATGATGTTTGAGCAAAGCACATTAGATGGATATAAATTTTATACCATATTTTTATTAAATAAAGTAGTAATATAATTTTTAAAATGTAGATTTATAATTTATAATTAAATAAATTTTATTTACATGATTTTTTGGCTAACAGCATCGCTTACATTGAAATTCAAAAGATGCTTGCTGTCAAGATTCCGGAAGTGCAGCCATGACAGTGCATATAGTAAAGATTAACCGATGCATCTCGAGAAGACTTTTATGCAAAGCTGGCCCCTATTTAGGTGTTACTAATGTGAAGAAAACCTGGAAAACTCCATGTGGCCAGTTAATTGGCAATGCATGAACCCCTGACTAACTACTGGTGTTTAGTTGTTTTATCCACTTGGTTACTGGAGGGTACTTATTGAGCTGCAATTTGAAAAAATTCTATACCTATAAATTCCTACCATTGTTTGTCTTGCTGTCTATCCTTCCTTAATCTTGAGAATGGAGTTAGATAGATGAAAGTCTAACCAGATATGGAAGCTTAAGAGCAGTAGGTCTAGATTATATACAAACTTCTGGTGAAAACTTGTAGTAATGTTATTTCAATTAAAAGTTTTTCCCTGAACAGAGTTAGATACATAACCTGAACGATTCTATTGCTAACAGGAAAAAAATGATGTACAGCAGCAAAACACTACTACACACTATTGTGTTCCACATGTCACAGTAATGGCATAATAATATGTCTATTTCACACTATATCATTGTCGCAATAATTAAGTGAATATAATATTTTTAAAATTATATTCTTTTTTGTAAGAATTATATTTTGTTTATTATTTTCTTAAATTTTTTGCTAAAAGATAATGCTACATGTAAAGCCAGCAAATCAAATGTAGACAGAAATTAATTGATATATAAAAATCCAATCAATAATTTGGTGTGGGATGTACAACCTTGTCTAAGTTAGAAGTATGTGAACATAATTGCTGAATTTTGTAGCAATTGGTTGAATGGCCTAGGAGTGTATAGTGAACAAACAAACATTCTCATTCATATATAGATTATTAGAATAAATTGTGCTAATGCTCTTTTTAAGATTATTTTTTATTTCTTATTGTCGCGTCAGGCCGATTCTTGCCCCGTGTAATGATTAATTAATTTTCATCTCACCTGACCGTCTTGTTCGGACTCCAGGTTCCCGTCGTATCTCCAATCAACGAAAAAAAAGTTCACCAAGTTTGTCCTTTTGATTTTATTCACACAAAAACCAACAAGAAAAAACTATGTACAACAATTCGACAGGAAAGAGCACTCCTCTATATTCCCGCGCCTTTTTAGTAACTCAACACCACCGTTTTGATGTTGCCAACTCTATCCAATAACATTAAATATAAAAAACTATTAAAACTGCCCGCCATCTAGCGGGATGGACAGGTCACTTATTATTAGAACTTTAAAATTTTAAATTAGTTTAAAATTTTTATGTTATGTTGACAAATTCTGAATTAAGATTTTTTAGTTATGAGTCTTGCAAGATGTATGATTTATGATTTTTTTGTAATTTATTTAATATCAAAATTAATTAATTAAATAGTCAAAAATACATAACTTTTGTTACAGATTTCTGCAATTTAAAATTTAAAAATTTTTATTTTTAAATGATTTCTTTTTTAATTAATTTTGAATTTAAATTTTATTTATAAATAAGCCATTTTCATAAAGCTTTATTAAAAATATATAATTTATTTATTATTTATTTATGCTATTTATATAAATAAAATTAAAAAATTTAGGTTAATCTATAATAATAAAATTTTCTTAATTTTGATTTTTATGTGAGACTATGTTAAATATTTAAGAGTGAAATAACTTTATTTTACAAATATTAATAAAGTAATATCATGTATAAAGTTTCATGTGTGATTGTTTTCAGTTTGCTTCAAGATATTTGATAAAGATCAAGATGGAATTCTTTCAAAATCAGAAGTATATGAGATGGTTAAAGCACTTATTTTTGTTCGAGAAGAAAACAGATCACTTAATGGAATTGTAAGTTTTTCTTTAACACTTCAAGTTCATTTAAGTAAACTTTAATGATAATTTTTGTTATTAATTGTAACTTAATTAATGAACTTTAATTATTGTCGCATGGCTGCATTCTAAAAATAAAAATATAAATTTTAGCAAAAATAAAGCTAATTTTAAATGTTGATAAACTTTATAACTTAATATAGCTAACATAATTAATATATGAAGATGTCTTGATTTAACAAATTAATAATATGAAGAATAATAATAAATATGTCTTTTTTGAAGAGTGAAATAACATGAAAATATAAATCAGAATCAATTTGATGAGATATTTCTATACTTAATGATTCAAATTTTAGGTTGCAATCTAAAACTGTAGTGATTTAATATTTGAGATGTTCATTTCCCTGTTTTACAAATTAACAAATCTGTTGTACAGATGTTTCCCTACTTATGAACAGGTTAGATTCCCAAGGTTTTGTCATAAATCAAAATGTTCGTAAGTTGAAAACTAATTTTAAAATTACATTTATACACAGAATAAGAGAGAATTCTTTAACTCACTTTGGAGATCACTTAATTGGAGATATCATTTTCAGATTGGCAACAAATGAATTCACAAATGACAGTTACTAGTGTAAGTAATAATGTTTGACATTTTAGAATTTAGAGATGGGAGGTGCAGGAGTTCTCATTCTTAAACAAAATTAAAATGTTCTCAAACTAAATTATGACCATAATTAAAATGAAACCCATAAACATTTGGACTTGACTCTTTACAGCTGGACATTGCATAGTTGTTTGGTTTTTTTATTTTTTGGGGAAAAATGTTAGATGTTTTTAATATTCTATACCTTATGATAGTGAAAAGATTGGAATATCAATTGATATTAAAATATCTGTTTTCTATAATAGGTCTTGTGATACAGACAAAAAGAAAGCTTTGTCTGAATCTCTCCTAATTCAGCCAGCAAATGTATTTAATTAATTTAACATCACTTATGAATGATAGAAATAGCCTTACTTTTAGCATGCATGAAATATATAAAATATGGGGTCTGCTTAAGATTGTAAGATTAAGGCAATGCAACATAACACATAGGAGATCTGCCAAGGGAAAGTGTCTCTCAATAGGACTTTGTGGAAAACTAGCTACTTTTTAGATGTAAGACATGTGATATTTACCTTTAAAAATTTATTATGTATCTACATATTTTTACTGAATTTACTGGTGGAAAATATCAAATTATCAATATATTTATTTTTTATATCAAATATCAAATATATTTATCAAATTATCAATATATTTGCATTTTTAAACTGATTACCAGTAATCATCTGTTTATTAATTGTAATATTTTAATTAAAAAATGAATATTGATAAAACTGATTTTTTTTTAGAAAATTAATTAGTATTTTGATACTTGATATTTTCAAGTAAATATAGTGAAAATTAAGATTGTTTTGATGATTGTTTTTTATCCAAATAGAAGTTATATAGAGTGTTCAATTTATGAGCTGTATGATGGCTTTTCTTTTCTGCTAGACTTATTACACCATCATTCAGAAACAAGACAAGCTTTAGAAAATCGCATTTTATTTCCAGAGTATGCATTTTGGACTTTGAGTCCCTTATCAACTCTTTGTGATGTAACTGTTTAGGAAATAATGCATACAAGTTAACATAAATTTTGCACCATTATAAAATTTGTAAAATTTTTCTAACTTACATGGTTATGAGAAGCACAGAAATGGTGACGATTGATAAAATAAGGATGACAATTATTAATTTACAGGTATTTGCTATAACAATAGTAGAATGTTATTGATTTACAAGAACAATATATATAACATATATGCAAAAGTTGTGAACTTACATTAGATATGACGGTACGATACATAAAGTAGTATTAGCAGTAAGAGGCAAACAATATACATAATAACGTACACTGTTAAAACCATAACATTTAAGACTGTGACATTGCAAACTGTTATACCATTAAAACAATAAAATAGAATGATGAAGTTAAAAAAAAAACCTGTTCACAGTTAAAACAATAAGACTTTAAACTTATTTACGGTAGAATCGTAACACGATGAAACGATTCACAGAAATAACAAGAAATTTGCCATCATTTTCTTTTTTATTTAAACATTCTCTCTTCCCCCCTCATGCCCCCTCAGGAAGAGAGAATGTTTAAATAAAAAGGAAAATGGTGGCAAATTTCTTGTTATTTCTGTGAATCGTTTCATCGTGTTACGATTCTACCATAAATAAGTTTAAAGTCTTATTGTTTTAACTGTGAACAGGTTTTTTTTTTAACTTCATCATTCTATTTTATTGTTTTAATGGTATAACAGTTTGCAATGTCACAGTCTTAAATGTTATGGTTTTAACAGTGTACGTTATTATGTATATTGTTTGCCTCTTACTGCTAATACTACTTTATGTATCGTACCGTCATATCTAATGTAAGTTCACAACTTTTGCATATATGTTATATATTAATATATTGTTCTTGTAAATCATTAACATTCTACTATTGTTATAGCAAATACCTGTAAATTAATAATTGTCATTCTTATTTTATCAATCGTCACCATTCCTGTGCTTTTCATAACCATGTAAGTTAGAAAAATTTTACAAATTTTATAACGGTGCAAAATTTTATGTTAACTTGTATGCATTATTTCCTAAACAGTTACATCACAAAGAGTTGATAAGGGACTCAACTCCGAAATGCATACTCTGGGAAATAAAATGTGATTTTCTAAAGCTTGTCTTGTTTCTGAATGATGGTGTAATAAGTCTAGCAGAAAAGAAAAGCCATCATAGAGCTCATAAATTGAATACAAGACTAGACAAGAAGCGTATTACAGGTATATAGAGTGTCTCATAAAATTGGCCTGACTGAGATGATGAAATATTAGTGACGTAAATTTTATAGGATATATTAAAAAAAAAATAAAACTGTACAAGATACAATATGTAAACTAAAAGAAAACACTTGCAGAAACATTGAGCACCATCAACATCAGTATTTTACATAAGGTCATATTTTACAGTCTTAGCATGATTATATGTACACAAAAGTGCATATATCTACAAGAACATTACTTTTGACATTTTTTTGTAAGTTTCTGTACTCTTAAATAATGTTAAAATAGTTTCTAATGAACGTCTTTTGCTTAAATTTATTTATATTGTTTTCAGTGTGTGAAGTTGATTTTACATGGGACACTCTGTAGTATGCTAAGTCAGGATTCTGGCATAACATTTTTGAAACACTAATTTTAAAAGATAATAGAAAAAACATTTAAAAAATGTACTTTTTATAAACATAAACAATTGTTGAAATTTGTGTGGATTGATGTTTAAATAATTTTATATTATAATTAGTATTGATCACGGATTTGTTTTAATTAGAGTTGATTGAAAGATGTTTTCCTTAACTATTTCCTTTCTCCATAATTCTTTGTTCTTTAAAAAAATTTGACAGAATTTAAAGAAGAAATTAATAATCTCTAATTATATAATTAATATTTTTCTAAATAAATTTTTTCTGATATCTTCCAGTTCAGTTAAACTAAGAATTTTGTTGGGTTACAATTTGAAAAAAATTGGATACCTATAAATTCTCACTGTTATCTATCTGTCTGTGCAGTCAGTCCTTTGGTAATCTTAAGAATGGTGTTAGATAGATGAAATTCAAGACCAGATATGGAAATCTTTGGGGGCAAGGGGTCTGATTAACTATATATGAACTTTTGGTTAAGACTGGAAGTTATTTGATTTAAAAAATTTTTTCCTAAATGGAGTTACATAGTTGATCAGCATGATAATTATCAGAAAAACTATGATGTACAGGGGAAAGACACTACTAATTTGAGATGTAAAACATAAATTTTAAATTAAATAAATTAAGAATATGATTAAAAAGGCAGCCTGGCATTGTGACAATGTTACAATAATTTTTGCTTTTTTTATTTTAAATTAATTACTGATTAATTAATATTTTAATTTTATTTTGCAGTTTTGTGCAAATGAAGATGAAATTAATGAAATAGTCAGTGGAATTATGAAGGTTCATGATGTTAATAAGGTAAAAATTATTAATATTAATAAAGTTTTTATTTAATGATGACTGATTTTTAAAACATTTTTCTTTATACTTGCTTCATAATTATTTTGTAAAGCAACTTAATAGTAATTTGAAAAATGAAATTTTATACAAACAATCAGAAGAACAGTAATTAAAATAAATTTTTTATTGTGTGAAAATTTTAAAGTTTATTAATATGTCAGATAATTTTTCACAAATTAAAATGTTTCCTTTTTAAAATTTATTGTAAAAGAGATTTAGATAAATTTTAGCTTCATTTGTGTCATATAATTACAGTTTTACTTGTTGAATATGAAACACCAAAATATAAATAAAGGTATTAGCTAGAAGTTTACAAATGCTGATGTTTTTAACTTTACTATAAGCTGACATTTTAAATATCTTAGCATTGTTTCAAATTGATCAATGTTGGAATATTTAAACTTTAATTTTTGCAAAACAAACTGAAGAAAGTCCTTCTGTGAGTTTCTTGGGATGAAATGTTTTGAGCAACACATTCTGAAAGTAATTCTAAAAGATTAAAAAAAATAGTACAGTTAGCATTTAAAGCTATTTTAGCCGACAATGAAAATTGTATTTTTCAATAAAATGCAAAAAATAAATACAGTGGGTGATCGGTTAATGAACATAATCCGTTCCAAGACTTTGTTCGTTATCCAAATTGTTTGTTAACTGATTATCGATTTACCATAGGTTTCTATGGGAATTTGATTAATTTGTTCTGGAGACCTCCAAAAAATAAAAAATATAGACTATACTTTCTTATTATGTTTATTTATATGTAATAATAAAAATACGTATATACACGGTCTTGCATTTTTATTAGTCATGTTTTTTCTGTTTATGGGGGTTAAAGAATCTGTCCAATGTCGATTGCTTTTCTGTCTTCTTTATGATTTTTCAGAAGTAATTAATAGCATTGTAATTGTAGAGAACCCTAGGCCTATTAACCTCAACCTGGTTTGGATGCCATTTTAAGACTGTTGATCTGACATCCTCCCACTTCTTTAAAAGATCTTTAATAGCAGATATCAGCATAAATCCGCATTTTCAGAAGAAAATGTAAAAGAATTGTTTCTGTCAGTAATATAAAAAGCTGGAATTACAAGGGAGAGTTTCAAAGTTTGGGAGAATACTATCCGATCAGTATATACTGGGTAGAATGTCGATGTCGACGTCTCCGCGCTCCGAAAGTTTTGAATTGTTGCCTGAAGACAAAGGAAGACCAATTGGTATTCATTATTTTACATCTCTTCCTTTTGTTCAGTCAAGTGTTCGTTGTCCAATCATAAAAATCTTTTGCGAAAGTGTTCGTTATCCAATTTGTTCGTTAACTGATCACCCACTGTATTGCTTATTTTATTACAATACTTTGTAAAGTTCAAAGAAAATGCATTCCAACAGGAAAATGGCAACTTCATTGACAAAAGTTAAACATTTTTTTTTTTTAGAACTTATCTGAATAATATATGGAGATGTTTTTAGTATTATATTATTTAAAATTATTGTTTTATTACATATATTTTGTTTAAAAACTTTATTCTAAGTAAAAACTTGAGACATTTTGAATTACAGGATGATGCAATAACTTTAGATGAATATCTTGTTTGGAGTGTTGATCAGAATTTGACAACTGATCTTCTAAATATTCTTTTTCAAGTAAGTTTTTTTAATATTTCTAATCTTTCATATTGAAGTTTTATAATGTTATACTAAATTATAAAATTATTTGTATTGAATGATCCAAATTGTGTAAATAATTGTGTAATTGTGTAAATAAAAAAAATTAGTAAATTCTATCTTAACTAATGATAATTAGAAATGTAATAGATTTGATATTTTTATAGTAATATAAACTATTGTGTAAATCAAAAGCAACGTTATAAATTAAGGAAAATTTGTTTATTAAATAAATATTTTGTTCTTAATATTTTAAATGTGTTCAATTGCATATTTGCTGTTAACATTTGCTTTATATGTATTTTTGTTTTTCTTTCGTATACTTTTTATAAAGTATTTTTAATATCTATTGTAACTATTTCAATTACCCATTACTAATATTCTTAACATAACAAAAAAAATATTAATCTACAGGGGTCACTCTGGAAAATTTTAATATATTGCCAAATTTTGCCAGTTTTTTATTTCTTTCACCACTTCATATTGTTTATTGCCACCAGTTTTACTTACTAATTAATGCAGATGCTGGTAGCCTTATCAGTTTGCCGTGTGGAAAGCAAAAGTAACATGTTAACTTGTCACAAGGAGAGGGCCAGAAGTTCAGATCTCCAATTTGAATGAAACTTGGTGAACACACATCCTTAACACAAACAGCTCCTCATCCAAATAATAGGACCCAGTTTTCACACATTCCCAAAAAAGTGGCCTCTGAAAATTTAGTGTTTAGCTTAGAAGAATTTGGAGGAGTGGTGATATTCGAGTGAATAAGAGGCCCTGTTCTGGAGTTAGTTGATATAGGTTCAAACCTTCGGAATTTTAGTTTGATTTTTTTTTATGTGATATTATTTTATTATTTTACTACATCATTAGCATTATTATTACTATTACTATTCCTTCCATTTAAAGCTTATAAGACAAGAGATTAAAAATTGCAATGTCATTTCCTGCTTATGGAAAATGAGTCTCTGTAGATTTAACTCTTATGTTGTTAAATAAAATTTTCTTTATATTTATTTTCAGTTATGATGGAATTGTGACATTTGAACCATAACAAACAAGAATGCATGAGGATATTGTCAATAATATTAACAATTGAAAAAATAAAATGCTACAACTGTGCTACCCATTTTCATATCACTTGTCTTTTTCGTCCATATGCAGTAATGTCCAAAGCTTATTTACTTGTGAGGACATAGTATGTAATCAAGAGTGAAAATAAATGTGAAGAAATAACAGTTTTATTTAACGATCTAAAAGAGTTAAATCTACAAAGATTTGTTTTCTTTAAACAGGAAATGTCATCACAATTTTTAATCTCTTGTTTTATAAGCTTTAAATGCAAGGAATAGTAATAGTAATAATAATGCTAATTGGAATTATTATTTTTTAATTCAAAAAATGTTTTCTGCTTCATTTAATTAATGTACTACCAGGTTTTACAATTGTTATGCTAATAATGTCTTTCTACAGAGGGGTTGTAGTAGATTAACTTAACTATATGGTCATCCTTTAAATCATGGAATATGGTTCATGCAAATAAAATTCTTTAAAAAATTAATTTAAAAAATTGTTGAGTCTAAAAATTTGACATAAATTCTGTCTAATGAAATAATTCTTATTGGAATGTTCCATAAATTAAAGTTTTAATATTCAGATTTGAGTGAAATCAATGCTAACTACAATTTAATATTAATGAAGTTAATTTCTACTTAATGTTTCTGAAGAAAAGAAATATTTATTATTGTAAAATCATGATAAAAAGTAGATAGATTCCTAGAAATACATTTGTATGTAATATAATAATTAATTAAATAAAAATGATATTAGAAATTTGAAAAAATATAAAATGTTTCAGTTTATAATCAAAATAAAAATGCTATTGTTAATGTGATTTTGCACTTCACCATATGACCATTTTATAACATTTTGAAACATGTAATTTAGTATACAGTAGAGCAGTGTTTTTCAACCTTTTTCATTGAGTGGCACACCTAATTGAAAAATAATAAATTGTGACACCTTTGACCAGTGGCGGATCTAGAATCTGAATAAGGGGGGGACTAATGGGCCAGATGAATTTTTTTGCGAAAANCTGCAATCTTTGGCTATATCTTGGGCTACTCCAATATTTTTTTTTTGTTAGTGTGTGCATTTTAGCTGGCAGCACTGGCACTTTTGTGTGGTGTTTTTCTGAGGACTGTGTCGTGCTGAATCGAATGATTTTGATACTAGGTCAACTTCTAAAGTATATTTTTTTGGTTATATTTTTCAATATATTTATTTTGTTTGTACAAAATAAAAAAAATTAATTTTTAACGATACAATAGCCACGATTATTATTTTAAAAAGTTTTTGTTAGGCTTAATATTGACAAAAGTTCAATGCGAAGCGACACACAATGGAGAAAAATTTCAACATGGGATAGGTTAATATATTTTTTTGTACATAATCGGTTATCTGAAAAATAAGTTATCCGAACAATCCCAGTCCTCAATTGATTTGAATAAACGACGCTCTACTGTATTTGATTAAGTAACAAAGAACTAAACAATTTGTCTATATTGTCTTTTTCTTTAAATTATTTTTATTCTTTAAATTAAAAATAAAAAATTTTTTCTTTAAATTATGATAAAATAAATGATAAGTAGATATAATATTGATAATTATAAGTATTTTCATATAGGACAGTATGGATATTCTTACAGAAAAATATATAAGTGATTTAAATAATTATGAAATATGTTATTGTTGATCTGTTTATAAATAAATTTAGAGATACATTTTATTGATATTTATATCAAAAACAATTAATTACAATTTTAGATTTATTTTTAAAAATTTATTTTCTTTATTAAGAATATAATAAAGCATTAATGATAATATGAACTGTAATATAAATTTTTCTTTATTATTAGTAAATTTTTTGAAATTATTTAGAATGCACATTTTAATACAACAGTTTTTGTAATTTTAGGTTTGCCATATTATTTTTGGGTTAAAACCATCTTCAAAAGAAGAAGAAAAGGAAATTGTTAGGTATTTATAATTTATTTTAATACTTTCTTGGTAGATCTAAAATTATCTATTCTNTTATTTGTCATCATTACTTTTGAATACTATGAAAATACTGTAATATGCACCTACTTTGTGATTGAAACCATGTGCTTTTCAAAGTACAATGCAACGCTTTTTAAAGTATACAAGACACAAGTGTCCACGTCGTTCTTCTCTGGTGGTTGGCCTGGTACTGGGGCTGGGAACATGAAGGCCAAACAATGTGGTTTGGGCGAACTCGTGACAAGTCGTGTGTACACTTAGCGTAGAACATTACATTAACACGCGATTAGTCATAGTTTCTTTGCTTACTAGATATCTCGTAGCAAAATAGAANATATCAAATTATCAATATATTTATTTTTTATATCAAATATCAAATATATTTATCAAATTATCAATATATTTGCATTTTTAAACTGATTACCAGTAATCATCTGTTTATTAATTGTAATATTTTAATTAAAAAATGAATATTGATAAAACTGATTTTTTTTTAGAAAATTAATTAGTATTTTGATACTTGATATTTTCAAGTAAATATAGTGAAAATTAAGATTGTTTTGATGATTGTTTTTTATCCAAATAGAAGTTATATAGAGTGTTCAATTTATGAGCTGTATGATGGCTTTTCTTTTCTGCTAGACTTATTACACCATCATTCAGAAACAAGACAAGCTTTAGAAAATCGCATTTTATTTCCAGAGTATGCATTTTGGACTTTGAGTCCCTTATCAACTCTTTGTGATGTAACTGTTTAGGAAATAATGCATACAAGTTAACATAAATTTTGCACCATTATAAAATTTGTAAAATTTTTCTAACTTACATGGTTATGAGAAGCACAGAAATGGTGACGATTGATAAAATAAGGATGACAATTATTAATTTACAGGTATTTGCTATAACAATAGTAGAATGTTATTGATTTACAAGAACAATATATATAACATATATGCAAAAGTTGTGAACTTACATTAGATATGATGGTACGATACATAAAGTAGTATTAGCAGTAAGAGGCAAACAATATACATAATAACGTACACTGTTAAAACCATAACATTTAAGACTGTGACATTGCAAACTGTTATACCATTAAAACAATAAAATAGAATGATGAAGTTAAAAAAAAAACCTGTTCACAGTTAAAACAATAAGACTTTAAACTTATTTACGGTAGAATCGTAACACGATGAAACGATTCACAGAAATAACAAGAAATTTGCCATCATTTTCTTTTTTATTTAAACATTCTCTCTTCCCCCCTCATGCCCCCTCAGNAATTTTGCCAGTTTTTTATTTCTTTCACCACTTCATATTGTTTATTGCTATTTTTGTTTTTCTTTCGTATACTTTTTATAAAGTATTTTTAATATCTATTGTAACTATTTCAACTACCCATTACTAATATTCTTAACATAACAAAAAAAATATTAATCTACAGGGGTCACTCTGGAAAATTTTAATATATTGCCAAATTTTGCCAGTTTTTTATTTCTTTCACCACTTCATATTGTTTATTGCCACCAGTTTTACTTACTAATTAATGCAGATGCTGGTAGCCTTATCAGTTTGCTGTGTGGAAAGCAAAAGTAACATGTTAACTTGTCACAAGGAGAGGGCCAGAAGTTCAGATCTCCAATTTGAATGAAACTTGGTGAACACACATCCTTAACACAAACAGCTCCTCATCCAAATAATAGGACCCAGTTTTCACACATTCCCAAAAAAGTGGCCTCTGAAAATTTAGTGTTTAGCTTAGAAGAATTTGGAGGAGTGGTGATATTCGAGTGAATAAGAGGCCCTGTTCTGGAGTTAGTTGATATAGGTTCAAACCTTCGGAATTTTAGTTTGATTTTTTTTTATGTGATATTATTTTATTATTTTACTACATCATTAGCATTATTATTACTATTACTATTCCTTCCATTTAAAGCTTATAAGACAAGAGATTAAAAATTGCAATGTCATTTCCTGCTTATGGAAAATGAGTCTCTGTAGATTTAACTCTTATGTTGTTAAATAAAATTTTCTTTATATTTATTTTCAGTTATGATGGAATTGTGACATTTGAACCATAACAAACAAGAATGCATGAGGATATTGTCAATAATATTAACAATTGAAAAAATAAAATGCTACAACTGTGCTACCCATTTTCATATCACTTGTCTTTTTCGTCCATATGCAGTAATGTCCAAAGCTTATTTACTTGTGAGGACATAGTATGTAATCAAGAGTGAAAATAAATGTGAAGAAATAACAGTTTTATTTAACGATCTAAAAGAGTTAAATCTACAAAGATTTGTTTTCTTTAAACAGGAAATGTCATCACAATTTTTAATCTCTTGTTTTATAAGCTTTAAATGCAAGGAATAGTAATAGTAATAATAATGCTAATTGGAATTATTATTTTTTAATTCAAAAAATGTTTTCTGCTTCATTTAATTAATGTACTACCAGGTTTTACAATTGTTATGCTAATAATGTCTTTCTACAGAGGGGTTGTAGTAGATTAACTTAACTATATGGTCATCCTTTAAATCATGGAATATGGTTCATGCAAATAAAATTCTTTAAAAAATTAATTTAAAAAATTGTTGAGTCTAAAAATTTGACATAAATTCTGTCTAATGAAATAATTCTTATTGGAATGTTCCATAAATTAAAGTTTTAATATTCAGATTTGAGTGAAATCAATGCTAACTACAATTTAATATTAATGAAGTTAATTTCTACTTAATGTTTCTGAAGAAAAGAAATATTTATTATTGTAAAATCATGATAAAAAGTAGATAGATTCCTAGAAATACATTTGTATGTAATATAATAATTAATTAAATAAAAATGATATTAGAAATTTGAAAAAATATAAAATGTTTCAGTTTACAATCAAAATAAAAATGCTATTGTTAATGTGATTTTGCACTTCACCATATGACCATTTTATAACATTTTGAAACATGTAATTTAGTATACAGTAGAGCAGTGTTTTTCAACCTTTTTCATTGAGTGGCACACCTAATTGAAAAATAATAAATTGTGACACCTTTGACCAGTGGCGGATCTAGAATCTGAATAAGGGGGGGACTAATGGGCCAGATGAATTTTTTTGCGAAAACGAATATTACGCGCAATGCAAAAGTGTTTCTACGTGTTCAAAATCAAAATTTAAGTTCATTGAATTTTGTCAAAATACCTACATGTAAAATAATAGTCTCGCTATTGTTTTTTAAATATAGTTTTATTATCAAATATATCATCATTTTATATTATCATTTTATTGATAAACAATTTTTNTGAACTTACAAAGTTCCGTTGGAGTGGACTTCCCACTCTTGCTTCAACTTAACCTTTTTATAGCGTCTACATCGGGCTCGATGACCAATTACTGCTTACTGAACCATAACACTATGCAAATGTGATGTGGCATGATTCCCGGCCGACCAATTAGTGATCAACAGCCATAACATTATGCAAATCTGTGATTCGAAGCCATAGTCTTATGCAAATCATGCTGTGTGGCGTGTTGTCTGCTGACCAATCTGTGGCTGTACTTTCAAAAAGCCAATGGCCACTTTCAACCTGCTGTCGATGACCGTTACGAGTAAAAAAAAAACTTTACTAGGTCTTACTTTCGGGAGAGGCCTTATATTTAGCAATTCAGCAAAACCTCTGCTAGGTCTTATTTTCGGGGAAACATGGTATGTATGCGAACTAGCGTTTTCGCTTATGAATTTAAACAAGTGCAAAACACGGAACAGGTTAACCAACGAGAATTTGGAAAATCTGCTGGTTGTTTCAACATCTGCCATTATGCTAGACATCAAGAAGATTGCCGCTAGCATCCAATCTCAGCATTAATCACTTGGAGGTCTGGCCCCCAGTCAGTAAACTTAATTCTAATTTGGCCCTTCTTCAGAAAAGGTTGTGCATCCCTGCTATAGAAAATAGGGCAGTAAGTTCTATCTTCAAAAAAGAGGAATTCCAATGGGATTTCCTGTATCAGGAGACAGAGCTGAAATTTTGTTAAAATGAGTAGTGAGCCCATATATTAGATTTTCTAAAGGAAATTAAGCTAATATTAAGATATTTAGATGACATGCTTATTATATGTAAGGATGCTGCAGGATTAAATTTATAAAAGTATCAGTAAGTGTGGTTATTAATTTAACACAAAATAGTTTGACAGCATCAGTTTTTTAGACATAACTATCTTCAAGAAAGGGGCAAGCTTTAGTACAAAAGTCTTTAGAAAGTCAGTTGCTGTTGATTCATTTATACATTGGAAACTGGATGATACAATAATATACAAATTGGCAGCCTTCAGAGCTGTAAATAAAGAATGATATCCCAATCTTCAACAAAAGAAGATAGAAATAATGAATTTCAGGTAATTAAAAAATTGTCTACAGGCATGGTTTTCCAAAAAATGTCACAAATAACATTATTAAAACATCAGTATGTAAAACAGGATAAGGTTGAATATAAGCAAGAAGTTCTTGTGGTAACAAGTAATTCAGTAATAACCCTAACTGCAGTGTACATAAGAAAAGCAGGTATAAATGAGGAGTTAGAAGATGGCCCACTGTAATATAAATTTTTCTTTATTATTAGTAAATTTTTTGAAATTATTTAGAATGCACATTTTAATACAACAGTTTTTGTAATTTTAGGTTTGCCATATTATTTTTGGGTTAAAACCATCTTCAAAAGAAGAAGAAAAGGAAATTGTTAGGTATTTATAATTTATTTTAATACTTTCTTGGTAGATCTAAAATTATCTATTCTCAAATAAATAGTTCCACACTGCTTTTTAAGAGTATAAAAAAGTTCATTATTATTAAAATTGCTCTATTACTTTCAAGCTAATTAGCTCATCTTCAGAGGAAGCAAAGTTTACAGAATTTGAATTTGTAATTCAAATTTTGCATATGTGACCAGAGAGTTGGCACCTCTTTGATGTCAAGTCAGGATGACATCCTGTGTCGAACAGGACACAGTGGTGTCCTGTTTGACACAGAAGCCACAATGGTGAATAAGTTTTATTTGAAATTAGGTCATGCGAACAGCTGCGTGCAGATGCAGTTGGGTTCGGGATGGAGGAGTGAGAGACAGTGCAACGGGAGTAATGCACTTAGATACTAGGTTAATAAAACAAGTACCTGTATTTTTGTTATATGATCTATGTGCTAACAGTAGCAAGACAAATAGATATTTGATACTAAAGCAACATTGAAGTGTTCCCAAGAGAGCGTTTACATGAAATCATGTGTTGTGATAAATACCTGGATATCAATAGAACTTTGTGGATAGTGCTGAATTCTGTCAGCAATCCATTGACAGAATCCGGCACTATGAAAACAGTCTAAAGAAGGAAGGTGTTGGGATATTCTTCTATCAACTTTAGTTATTGGGGGATTGGCAATGACTTCTTGTGTCATGGAGAAATTGGCGACAACCTTTACTTTTGGAGGAACTGGCGATGACTGACTCAACTGGCTGCTAATTGTTATATTAAATGACAAAATCAGGACAGCAGCTCAGAATGTCACAAGAAAGGGTCTTTTTCGATGCTGGGAACTTAAAAGAAGATATACTCCCAGGTATGAAAGTTGACAGATATTCAACAAAGTTATTATTAAGATGTTATGTTGTTTAACTTGAAGTCCAGATTCTCACACACAAAATTATGATAGTAAATATTTAAGAACATTTAACATTTGAAAAATTAAACATTATATTGCAGACCTACATTCCATGGTAAAACTTATTTATAAATAAACAGAAGATTAAAATGTAATTAAACAAAAATACAAAACAAAACAACCAAACAAATAGAGAAATCTCATTATGACATTAGTAAGAGTTCCTTCACTACTTTCTCTAACCATTTTTTAGTTATTATTTGCATACATTTCTATGCTTGATTCAAATGATATTCAAAATTCATTGAACGGTTTTTGTAATTAACAAAACTTGGCACCATATTTAATAAATAAGTCTTTTCACCACTGTTTATTAAGAATAAAATTATTGCAAGCAACCATGGAATCATAGCTGCACATAATTGCTGATTTTCTTCAGGTGTTGGAAGCTAATGTAAACCATACCATATCTAACTTAAAAGTCAAGATATTACAAAACCATGTCAGAAAACTAAAGTGGATTATAAGTAAGCAAGTATCTTGATTTAGAAATAAAGCTATTGATTCAACTACAAGATTCTTTATAGAGGAAGATTTAGAGGCAACGTAAGATATCAAGTTGGCTCTATCATTTGGATATAAATTCATGCATCAAAGAGAAAAAGTCTTTCCAAAGCAGTAGTGAATTATAAAATGTTTGCACAGTTTCCAGTTTTGGAAGCTAGTATGGCAAAAGTTATGTTCTGAATATTTTAAAATCTATTAATATGTCAGATAATCTTCAGAAAATTAAAATGTTTTTTTTTTTAAGATTTATTGTAAAAGAGGATTCAGAAAAATTTTAGCTTCATTTATGGCATATAATTACAGCTTTATATAGTTGAATATGAAACAGCCAAAATATGAATATAGTATATAACTATAATATTTTAAGATCATGTTAAAGTCAAAAAATACTATGTAGACAAAAGGATGGCATGTTTGCTGACAAAATAAAAATTCTGGTTTTCATTAGAGAAGCTACTTACAAATCTAAGATTAAAACATACAAAATTGATTGCCTATTAGGACCAGTTCTAAAAAATCTTTTTCACTCCTATTTTAAATGTGGAAAAGAACAATTTCTATTCAATGAACATTTCTTTAGAGACAAAATAAACAATTATGCCATTTTTTGTAGATCCTAGTAACTTGAATACACTACTAGATTATGAAAATCTTTATCCATCAAATACAGATAGTGCTAGCTATTTTATTAACTAGAGAATGTATATGTCAAGATGGCAAGATAATCTTTGACAAATTTAAAATGGTAGCTGATTATATAGATTTAATTTTAAACAACTTGATAGAACTTACTATCCTATAGACAGGGGTGCACAACCTGCGGCCTGCGGGCCACATACAGCCCCCTATCAATGTTTATGCGGCCCGCGGTACAGGCCAAATCCCTTCTTTCGAAGTTTCTAAGTGTNTGGAGGTCCCGCCCCCCAGTCAGTAAACTTAATTCTAATTTGGCCCTTCTTCAGAAAAGGTTGTGCATCCCTGCTATAGAAAATAGGGCAGTAAGTTCTATCTTCAAAAAAGAGGAATTCCAATGGGATTTCCTGTATCAGGAGACAGAGCTGAAATTTTGTTAAAATGAGTAGTGAGCCCATATATTAGATTTTCTAAAGGAAATTAAGCTAATATTAAGATATTTAGATGACATGCTTATTATATGTAAGGATGCTGCAGGATTAAATTTATAAAAGTATCAGTAAGTGTGGTTATTAATTTAACACAAAATAGTTTGACAGCATCAGTTTTTTAGACATAACTATCTTCAAGAAAGGGGCAAGCTTTAGTACAAAAGTCTTTAGAAAGTCAGTTGCTGTTGATTCATTTATACATTGGAAACTGGATGATACAATAATATACAAATTGGCAGCCTTCAGAGCTGTAAATAAAGAATGATATCCCAATCTTCAACAAAAGAAGATAGAAATAATGAATTTCAGGTAATTAAAAAATTGTCTACAGGCATGGTTTTCCAAAAAATGTCACAAATAACATTATTAAAACATCAGTATGTAAAACAGGATAAGGTTGAATATAAGCAAGAAGTTCTTGTGGTAACAAGTAATTCAGTAATAACCCTAGCTGCAGTGTACATAAGAAAAGCAGGTATAAATGAGGAGTTAGAAGATGGCCCTCAATTATGTAGATACTAAGAAGTGACAAAGATCAAACCAGTAAGCTATCTAGGTCAGATGTTTGTGTTAAGACTTTCAAAATACAATGAATCCTATTATATTGGTTCTACATTTAGATTAATAGCATTTTAGATCAGTAGTATCAATATATGGTTAGTGCAATGTAATCATTTCACTTATGCAGTGGGTATGGCACAAGGACATAAAAGTTCACTGGAATTCACTGGCTGTTATTTAAGAATGTAGGGTAGGATTACCTAATAGAATTCTAGAACAAATACATATTTATAGTGTATCAAGATATATTAATGTCATTAATAGTGATGATATGAAGGTATTAATTAGAAGATTTAGAAAGAAGCTGGTTTGTAGACTCAAGTGGGAAACAGAATAGCATAATAGGCATTAAGTTTTAAATCCTGTATAAGATAGCCAATGTACTGGCTTTATTGTAAAAGTTAATATTTTGTAACTTAAAACTTTGAAAGACTAAAGTTTTAAGAGTTAAAAAAATTTTCTGTATTTTACTTTATTTTATTTTGAAATTTTATAAGTTTTGAGTATTATATTAAAATTTCTTAAAGTTTATAAATTTGCAAGATTTTGATAAATGTGTAAGAATTTAAATTCTGATTATATTTGTTAAGTTCTGGAATGTATTTTAAATTCAGTATGAATTTTCTTTGGTTTAAAATTTTTGTTTTGTTTTATTCTATATGCTGTTCTTAGATTATTTTTTTAAAAATATTCTGAACTGAAGGTGGTTCAAACTGAAATCAAAAACATTTTTAAATAATAAAGAAAAATCTATATTCAGTCATTTTAATAAGCTGTGGTAGAAAAATTTATTCATTGTATTTTTGAATTAGAAAGCACTGCTAATTTTATATTTATTATGTTTTGTCACTGTATTGTTTTAATATTAAAATTAATAAGAGCTAAAATATTTTTTCAATCTATTGAAAACTTTAAACATTCAGAACCACTTGTTTTTACTTTTTATTTTAAAAACAAGAAATTAAATAATTTTTTATTAGTTTATAATATATACTTAATATTTTATATGTAAAGAAAATCTTACTTGCATCTTTTCTCATGTATGATGTACTGAATATGTTAATTTATTAACTATTATTGTAGAAAATTGTAATCAGTAAGATATTATTGTATTTTATTATGTACTTATTTTAAAACTTTTAATTAACTGTTCAGAGGTTGGATAGAAAGAGATGAGAGACGAGGAATGCAGATTGGACAGTTTTGGTATCTTATATCTATGGATTGGTGGCGTTCATGGAATGAATTTCTAGATTACAAAGTAACTATTAATTATTTTATTGTTGAGAAATATATACTTTAAGAGATCAAAATTTTATTCAAATATTATATTGTCCTGAATTAAAACTATATTGTTAATATTGAATAATATGAAAAAGTATATATTTTGTTTTTATTTGAATTATTTTATATAATGTAATCAATAAGATAGCTGTATTGTTGTTATAGTAAACATTCAAGGAAAACTTAATTTTAATATTTTATTTTTATACGTAATTGTAAAATTAGTCTAAATTTTATGTTAAATGTATGTTGAATCAATAAAAAAATATTGTCATTTTATTTTAGTGAAATTATTTATTGTCTTATATTTTTTCAGGATGTAACACCATATCCAGTAGACAGTTTAAAACGATCTAGCAAATTACAAAGAAAAGTTGATGGGAGTGTTGCACAAGCAGTGGGAGACACTACAAATGTTGTTCTTTCTAGTATAACAAATTTTGGTGATGATAGCATGTCTTCACTTCAGCCAAGTCCTACACCTAGTCGTCATAGTGGAAGTAACACTTCTCTTAATAGTTTGAATAGTTTTAATTCAAAAAATTCAAGTGAATTATCACTCCAACATCTTCAGGGAATATCTGTGTCAAAAAAATCTAATAATCTGCAAGTAAATACTTTTGATTAATTTAAAAAAGCTAAATATTATTCTAAGGCATAATTTTTTAAAATATATTTTTGTCTGTTTTACTTTTCTGGCTGTTATGTGTACATAAGTGAAAGTTTTGGAATCATGTCAGATTTCACTCTCTGAGATGTTTGCAAATCTACACATTTTGAGACCCTCTAAACCCAAAAAAGTAAAAAAGGAAAAATGTCCCAGGTGTGTCTGTTCATTTTGTTTAATATTTCAGGATGGGGTGAAGATTATAAAATGAAATTTGGCATGTAGCTTGTGTGTAAGAAGTATTGATGATATTAAATTTTGGTTGTGAAAGGTTGAGGGAATGGAGAGATAGAGGGTGGTCATGTATCATATCTTACATGGTGTTGGACTTAATGAAGCTTTTGCTTGTTGTTAGCATTTACAATTTTTTTATAAAACTACTCTCTACCGTCAAAATTAAGTCTTTTGTCATTTTATAATAAATAAAAATATAGAAAGTTTTTATAACAAAATCTCATAACAGATGATGCTAGATACAATTTTATTTATTTATTGAATTGACAAGACTATGTCTTGTTTATAAAATCATACTGCCCGATATTCTTACCAGCATAGAGGTATGAAGGAGGAGTACATGTCGAGAGTTGATATTTGCCACGGAGTATTAGGTGCCCAAATCATTTGCTCATAAAAAAATTCAGACTCGTAGGTAGTCAGGAAACCAAGAATCGAGTCAAAATAAAATACAAAATGGTGACCCTCTTCTACAAACAGGCAAAACAGCCACCTTACCCCACCGAAGTCAGGTAGGGGAGAGTACCATCCACAGTTATTCTAAGGAGTGAACTCTGATTTTAGGATCAAACACATAGTTTCTTCTATGTTAAATAAAATTTGTAATCTAATTTTGTAAATTTGGGAGTGCTTCAAATATGACGTTAAAACAGTTTTATGTCGTTACAAGTGGGTTTTTTTAAACATTATCTAGTATAGTAAAATCATAGGACCAATAAAAATTTGACGTTATATTAGGGTTGTCGTTACATTCGATGACATTATAATCGGGTTAAACTGTATATTGTTTGTATAAAATAAAAAAATAATTTCGGACGATATAATAGCCACGATTATTTTTTCAAAAACGGGAACTTTTTGTTACGCATCGACAAAAATTCAACCGAGGTCGACACACAACAGAGAGAAATTTTGAAATTAGATAGGTTAATTTCATCGAAGATGCATCATGGACAATCTTGTGGTCGTGGCCAGCAAAGTTTGAACGATCATGCTCAAAAGCAGCGATATCAAATAATTATGATAGGAGAATGAGAACGAGACCTGCCTTGAGCATCAAAGTGATTCTGTCTCCGAGACATAGTCTTGTCTCAAATACGGTTTTGCCGTTTTACTTGTTATGATTAATAATATAAAAGTATTTTTTAAATAGAATCTCATAACAACCAGGAAAGTTACACAACCTATTGCTAGATTTTTTAAATATTCATAGTTGCAGTTTTTGAAATATATAAATGAAATTGGGTACTTTTCAAATATATCTCCACATGTTGCATTCATATGCCAATATATCTCAAGTGCATCTTAACCATACTGTGAAGAATGCACTTGAGGTGTATTGGCAGTTTTTATAACCGTAATATGCACAGACAATTTATACCAAAAATGTGTTATTTTATTTATATTATTATCTTTATAATATAACTTACAGTTAAACTCACAAGATTGGAAATTGTATTACTGATAGATACAGATATACACAAAACATTGGATTTTATACAGATCAGACTGGTGAAGGGTTATGCCCAAAATGCATATCTGACAGAAATATTAGCAATAAAATACTAATAAACAGTAACTATCTTAGTCCTCATATGATTATTTCCATACAGCAAAGTCACAATTAGTGAATACTGTTATTTATCATTGAAAACAACATTAATTCAAGAACATTAAATTAATATAAAATATTTCCAAACTTTGCCTCTTGCCAATATAAAATGTTTCTAAAAAGTTTGAATACAAAGTAATTCAATTTAGTAGAAAACCAATAAACCTGGCAAATTTGTTTTGACATAGCTATTGGTCAGTATGACATGCAGCATGGCACTTTTATAACACATTACTATACTTTGATAAATGTAAACAAAAAGTTTACTTGCAAGCAGTAGAATTGATGATACTGATTTGACTGATTCATCAACAGCATTGACTCTGAAGTTTAGTGCTAGCTTCTTTTGTTTTGTATTGTTTGAAATAAGTGTTGTAATAACTGAAAATGCTTACACAACAAAACAAAGAAATTTTGTACTGGAAAGTTAACTAAAGGAGAATATTACTGAAAATTAAGATGACAGTTTACAGCAAAGCAACAAAAATTTATGAATTACCTGTGCTACAAAGTTATAAACTTCTACAAACTTTTTATAAACTATTTGCAAAGTTTTTAATAAATGTCAATTTTTATGATCTGTAACAGAAAAGAGTTATTATAAATAGAAAATTATCTAAGAACATCTTTAAGATATTTGGGCAAACTTAAAATCACTATCCATGAAATCTTTTAAAGTTTATTTGAAGAGATCAGATAATCTTATGGTTCTGTTCATATAACTAAGGAAAAAATATCAAATTTTGGTCTTATGAAGTAAAAATTGTTTATAAACTTATTTGTTTATTTAGAGTTTCAAATATTTTTTGAATTAAATGTTCAAGATTTATATTTCTCATAATGCCCACAGCTCCACTAAGCATGGTCAACTACTGTAAGTGTTATCAAGTCTGACTTGCAATGTCTCCAAACATCTTACAAATAAACTTTTTGTTTTTAATCATTCCATATAATATGAAATAATATTTGACAAGTATGAAAATAGTATTATAAATTTCTTGAATGCAAATATTATTTATTATCTTTTTTGTTATTTATATTTTTAATTTGAACATCTATTATAAAGTCTTAATGCCTTTTATTTATAAATTTATTTTTAGTCATCTGATGTCGCTAAAACACCAACACCATCTCCTAACTTGACCAGGAAAACCTTTAATCTTTCTCCTCAAAAACCATCAGCCATTGATAACTCTTTGCTTATAGTGCCAAATGCTTTAAAAGTAAGAAAAGTATTATTTTTTAAAATAAAATATTATTGAACTAATTTACAAGTGATGCAGTTTATTTATTTTTAAAATATGTTAATTTGAATATTTTTACAAATTTATTTCTAAAGTTAGATAAGTGAGCAACATAATAGAAAACAAATTTATAAAATATTTTAACTAATGATTAATCCTAATAGATGTCAAAATATTAATGAAAATAAAACACAAGGTTTAGCAATTAAATTTCAGGATTTAACAATAAAAACATGTAAGAACAAGATTGAAAATATCTATGACAGTTGATCAATTCAGCTATTTGACAAATATTACTATAATTCAATCATAGTGGTGTTTTTAGTGTCTAGTGTTAATGTCATAAATATTTTACAGGTAATGATTCTAACAGGTGAAGGTGGAAGACTTCGAAATTCTATTTCACATGGTAAAGATTTTGAATTAGTTACAGAATCAGTATGGAGAGCATTATTGCAATGGTATGGAGGATCTCCAGCTTTACCAAGACAGGTATTTTAATAATTATGTATTGTTTATAAAAAATTTTTATGTAACTTGATTGATCAAAAATTGTTAAAAGATGAAGTAGAGGTAAATTTATGATTTGAAAGTCGTTAGATAGCTCAAAAATGTTTCTTTGAAGATATATCTTAATAAAATATAAGTTCCAAATATTGATATGTTAGATTAATAAAAGGAGTTTCTACAAGGTTCAGGGATGAATTATATAAAAGATTTTGGCAGAAACTTAGTATCATTCATTAAAATACACTCCTCTTTGATCTACATAAATTTTATCATGCTCTAATATTTTACATATGCAATCATGAAAAGATTATTTAGGAATGCTGTTTATTTCCTTTTGTACAGTCTCTTTGACTTCCAAAATTGACAGAAATTATTCCTTTCAAAGCAAATTTTAATTAAATAGAAAGGGGTCAGTTTGGACTGATCAGACTGTGGTGAGTTCATGTTTCCCTAATTAAAATTTTCTTCGAAAGGGAGACAAATTCAGTCAATTTCAGAAAACCAAGAAGCTATACAGAAGGAAATAAACAGTGTTCTAAACAAATTCTTTTATGAGACATATTTAAATTACCAGAGCATGCAAAATTTGTGTATAAGTGTATTTTGAAGATTGAAGAAGTTGACTCATTTTTGCCAAACAAATTTTTTATAACTTTAGTTTCTGATCTCAGTAGATTCATATTATATGACAAAGTTTAGTTTGAATTGTCTTTTTTCATATACACAAAAATGTTTTTTTCATAGATGTAAATAATTAAAAATATGAAACTTTTTTATGAATATTCTGTGATATTAATATGAATAATTAGAAAATATAATGTATTTTTAGGTAATATTACCTCATAACAGTGATGTACCAGAATTGGAAATGTATCCTGTTACTCTCAAATTGTATAGACATCAAGCCAACACAAGTCGTCAAGTTGGCAATCCATGGACTGGTGTAGTTGGTACTGTCTCATCTGCTTGTGGTAAGACTTATACTTTTAAATGATGTCTTGTTTGATTTACAGTAGAACCCCTCTAATCCGTTACCTTTGAGACTGGGGGTATGGTTGGAATGCAAAAAAGGTCGGATTATCAGAAAAAAGGAAAATGAACAATCTTCCCTTTGTCCAGTCTATGTAGCACTGCTAATTTTTCATTTAATGAAAAAGTAACATTTCACTCCTGACATGTTGATAACACACACAAAACTGTACATGTACTGTACACACAATGTAAAACATATGCTGTAATGAACACAGAAGAACACCATGGACGGTGAGTCACTGATGAGTCGGGACAAGTTTCTCGACTTTGACCATGGTCGGATTATCCGGAGTGACGGACTAGCCGAGGGCGGACTAGAGGGGTTCTACTGTATATATTTTTGAATTTGAAAATACTGTTTTCAATAACTTCAGTCTTATAAGTTGTGATTTAAATTTTGAAATTATAAATTATAATTTTAATTTCATAATTTTATGAAATGTAAGCAATAACTATAAATGTCAATAGATAGGGGGCCTGAATTAAAACTATATTGTTAATATTGAATAATATGAAAAAGTATATATTTTGTTTTTATTTGAATTATTTTATATAATGTAATCAATAAGATAGCTGTATTGTTGTTATAGTAAACATTCAAGGAAAACTTAATTTTAATATTTTATTTTTATACGTAATTGTAAAATTAGTCTAAATTTTATGTTAAATGTATGTTGAATCAATAAAAAAATATTGTCATTTTATTTTAGTGAAATTATTTATTGTCTTATATTTTTTCAGGATGTAACACCATATCCAGTAGACAGTTTAAAACGATCTAGCAAATTACAAAGAAAAGTTGATGGGAGTGTTGCACAAGCAGTGGGAGACACTACAAATGTTGTTCTTTCTAGTATAACAAATTTTGGTGATGATAGCATGTCTTCACTTCAGCCAAGTCCTACACCTAGTCGTCATAGTGGAAGTAACACTTCTCTTAATAGTTTGAATAGTTTTAATTCAAAAAATTCAAGTGAATTATCACTCCAACATCTTCAGGGAATATCTGTGTCAAAAAAATCTAATAATCTGCAAGTAAATACTTTTGATTAANAAATTCTTATAGGAGAAGAGAAAATGAAAACAGTCTTACATTTGAAAGGTATGTTTGAATTCCAATTGGACAGTATTACTAATAAAAACAACAATACGAATTTGATAGTGATTAATTTTCCTTTTAAATCAAATGACAAGTTGAAAGAGTTCATTGAGTTTATTGAGGTTGAGCTTAATTTAAAAAACATTTTAATTGATCATTTAATTCCACTGGGGAAAAGTAACTCTATTAATAATATAATAAAAATAGAACTGGCATCAGTTAACGATAGAAATCTTATTCTCAAGGAATTTTGGCGGAATAAATCCAAATTTGCTAATGAAACTGCTAACATTATTATGAAGTCGGATTTATGTTATAGATCCAGAATTAGAAGAAAAAATTTGATTAAGAAAATCAAGACAGAATTTGTTGCTGAAACGAAATTAATTGTGAGGGATGATTACTTTATTAAAAATAATCTCAAATACTCTTTGGATATGGACACTAACGAAATTATTCCAATCGACCATTTTTTATATCATGCAGACTAGATTCTATGCACAAAACAACTGATAGGTGTATTAAACAGTATAACACTGGTGATAACATTTGGTCAACATTCAAAAAAGATAATGATGATGCCGATGATTACAATCTTGATAGTAACAATCAAAGTGAAAATATAAAATATATGCAACATATTAAAACTTCAATCATATTTTGGAATTGTCAAGGTTTGAAAACTAAGTTACATGCGCTCAAAGCAAAATCATTTATAAATTTGAATGTGATAGTCGGATTTACTGAAACTTGGTTAAGGGAACTTAATTCAATGGAAAAAGAGTATCTTGAAGCTGATAATTATATAGTATTTAGTGAAGCTCATAGAGTAAGTAAATACGGCCGTCCTTCTGGTGGAATTTTACTTTTGGTGAAAAAGTTTTTTGGATCAATCATTTACCAACACACTACGTCGAATTATATAGTGGCAATAATTAGATTAAATGAAAAATTAAACTCTGAGATTAATGATTATCATCTGGGAATTATAGTCACATATCTTGCACCTTCTAATGATAAAAAGATGATCCTCACTGCAATTCAACATCATATGAACAGATGGACTTGTTTAACTCAGAGTTGGATTATTGGAGGCGATTTTAATTCTCGCATTGGTGAAAATATTGATACTAAATTTTATCAAAATTTTGAGAATATTAGCAACATAAGAAAATCCAAAGACAAAAAGCTCAATTGTGAAGGCAAAAAATTATTGGACTTCGTGCAAGAAAATCAATTATTTATACTAAACGGCAGATTAAATGGCGACGTTCCGGCTGAATTTACTTATTTATGCAATGATAGTAAGTCAATAATTGATTACATAATATGTTCTGAGGTTTTGGTTGATCAGTGCATGTCCTTGACAGTTTTAAATGAGGATTTATCTGATCACTTCCCTCTGCAGCTTATAATACAAAATGAAAAATCCATGACAAAAAGTAATAAAGAAGCTCAACTAATAAAAAATAAAAAGAACTATAATCTAAGGTTTAACTTACAGAAATGGTTAAATTCTATAGAATCTATAACAGAAAATCTGTTAATGCAAGAAAAAAATAATGATCCTATTTCAAACTATCAAATATTAATGTCTAGACTATCGGAATGGCAGGTAAAATATCGATGTATGACTACAAATAACAAATATAAAAATTCTTGGTTCGACAACTGTTGTTATCGACATAAATTAATTAAACAACGTTGCTTAAAAACTTTTAGAAAGACAAATTTGTCTGAGGATTTGAACAAGTATATTAATAGTAAGAAAATTTACTCGAACTTAATAAGAGCAAAAAAGAAACGATATTTGGCGAATTTAAACAAAACATTAATGGAAGTTAAGAATTCGAGCTCCTTTTGGAGAATCATTAACGATTATCGGCGAAAAAGACAAGGATATACCAGTCAAAGAACTATCAGTCATGAGGATTGGGTGAGTCATTTTGAGAAATTTTCGAATGAATATTCATGTAATCAAGCGAACACACACATTGATCATTCAATAGGTTTTGATGTAAATCAAAATGAATTCTTTGAAGTTCAAGACACACAAGATTGTATTAATAGATTAAAAAGTAAATCGGCTCCTGGATCCGATGGCATTCCTAATTCTGTAATCAAACTTTTACCTTTCAAATTGGTACAATATTTGACTAGAATCTTTACCAACATTTATTCTAGTGGAGAAATTCCATCAATCTGGAATGAGGTGATTTTATCTATGATTTATAAACAAGGTCACAAAGATGAGCCTGCAAACTATCGTCCAATTGCGTTATTGTCAAATTTCAGAAAGATCTTCACAGCTATTCTAGCAATAAAATTTAACAGATGGACTAATTTAAGTAATCTACATAATCGAACTCAATTTGCTTACGTTGCTAATGGGGGCACGCAAAAAGCCTTATTCGTCTTAATGTCACTAATTCAATTGCAGTTATTAAAAAAGAGAAATAAAGTTTTTGCTATCTTTCTGGATTTATCAAAGGCATATGATTCAATATGTATTAAAATTGCTATGTATTAAAGTTACTTGAACATAAGGCTTGTAAACGTTTCGTAAGTATTATTGGTCAACTTTATGGCAACTATAATGTTATAATTAAACAGAATAATAAATGTGGAAATCCATTCTCAACTTGCAGGGGATTATTACAAGGTGATCCTCTTTCTCCTTATTTGTTCAATTTCTTTTTATATGATTTAAATGATTGTTTTACGAATGAAAACGACGGTATTCATATTGATAATATTTGTATTCAATCAATTTCCTATGCAGACGACATAGTCATCGTTGCTCCATCTGCAGTAGCTCTTCGACGTAAGATTTTACAAATAACTGAATATCTAAATAAGTTAAAGGTTAAAATTAATCCTAACAAATCTGAGGTTATGATTTTCAGAAATGGAAATAGACTGTCCAAAAAAGTTGTCTTTCTATATTCAAAATGTTAAATTAAACATTGTTAACGAAAAGAAATTTCTAGGACTTATATGGTCTTTTAATATGTCATTTGACAAACACTATAAGTATATAACGGTTAAATCTAGAAATCTTCTAAATAATCTGATAATTTTGTTCTCTAAAGCAAAGATAAGAAATAATAAGGTACATTTTAAATTGTTTAATTCTATAGTATTAAATGCTTTGTTATATGCTGCTCCAATCTGGTGCCTCAATAAATTTAATAACTTTGAAAAAATCCAAAATATATTTATATGCAAGTTATATCAATTGGAGTTTAATATGCCAGGAAGTGTTCTTCGTTTGGAATTTAACAGATATAAAATAAATACAATCCTATTAAAAGCCTGCCTGAAATGGTTATACAAGATAATTAATTCAGATGATTTATCTAATAAGCTGGTATTATTATTGCATAAAAGATTGCAGAAGACAATTATAAATAGGAATTGGATTGCTCAATTATCACACATATTTAATGACGATGGATTTTCTATGGATTTGGTCTTTGATTATCTCAGAAACAATAATCAGTATATAAATCAATTAATGCTTAGAGTTGTAGAATGTTCCATAACTCAGGATATTGAAGATGTTCGTAAGAGAAGAGATAAACATTACTATAATTTCCTTTTTAATTATCCGTATATTAACAACTATATCTTTACGAATCTAACTTTTCAAGTCAAAAAATTTTTCATTCAGGTGAGACTAAATCAAAAAGGATTAATATTTGAAGGCAAATATTTGGAATTTGCACACTCCGTTTGTTCAAATTGTGCTAAAACACTATCAAAGCTTCATTTATTTTATGGATGTGATCTTAATAAAGATCAAGAATCAGAGATCACTGAAGATCAAATTAATAGCCAAAATTTAGTTAATTATATGTATAATAAATTCAATTTAGCTACCACTAATGAAATTTATAATTGCTATAATGGTGTAAGAAGACTCCTAAATGTAAAATCTTAAATACTATATGTTATTCTAAAGCGGAGATATGTTTAATTTTTGTTATTGAATGTTTATTTCCATCTTTCTTCATCGTCATGTACCCCCTTGTAACAGGCGACTGCCTATTATGTTCAATAAACTAAACTATATACTATACTATAAATGTCAATATTCTATTTAATGTATCTAGAATTGTTAATTATTTTGAGTTTAATAATATATTTATAAAAAAAAACAATTACAAAATACATTTTTGTTTAATTTTACTTATTATTGTTTCAATATATTAATCTGCTGTCATTCATATGCATAGGTCTGTATATAAATGCTATGCACATGCTCATATCCACACACAAGTGTAGTCAGTTGTAAAAGATCCTAAAGTCACCATTAGGAAATCTTTGCAATTTCAATCACACGTTTCTTTAATGATATTTAAACAACTTTGAAAATTGATAGCAGTTAATAAATTTGTTTATATGAAATATGTAACATGATTTGTACAATGTAGCTATGATTTACAATGAAGTTTAATTGTGAGTTGTGTTTTATTTTATGTAATTTTATAATACCGTTAATATATTGATAATAACAAATATATTTTAAAACTAACATTTAATAATAAAATATTGCTCTATATTTTCATATAGGGTAAAAAAATTATATTTATAAATTATTTGTAATGTTTTTACTGTATAGTACAGTAAAAATATAGATAATCTATAAATATTATTTAATGCAATAATTTTCAATTGAGTTTTTTTTAAAGAAAATAATTATTCTTGTGTCATATATGTAAATTATTTTACAAAATTTGCTTAATTTTTTTTATCATGCTAATAAATTATAAAAAAATTTTCTTAAATTATTACAGTAGAACCTTGAAAACTCTGCCTAATGTGGACCGAAGGGTGGCTGAGTTTGTGAAAATGCCAGGTTATCGGGAATGGGGTTAAAAAATATAAGTACGAGTGTTTCCTCAGAAAATACTGTATTGTACTTGTATGTATTGTTTACTTGAGAATATAACAGAGAATAAACTGCCCAAATACCCTTAAACAAAGGAAAAGTACATTTTTTATGAAGGCATGAAAATGAAAATTAATGAATACACTGTGTACAGTAATTTACCTGATAAGACAGACCTCAGAAAAATACTTTATGAGGCATAAAGCTGTCTTATAAAGCTGTCTATAATNTATGTGTACAGTAATTTACCTGATAAGACAGACCTCAGAAAAATACTTTATGAGGCATAAAGCTGTCTTTATCATGAAAATTAATTAACTAAGGATTTTTTTGCCCTGCCAGGGTGTGGCCGAGTTATCCGGAGTGCCGGGTTATCGAGAGCCGAGTTTTCGAGGTTCTACTGTATTAATAAATTTTATTAATATTGCTTAAATATCAGGTAATAAAAGCCAATATATTGCTCATCTATTCTATTAATATGATAATAGTTCATTTTTAATAATAATAATATTTGCAAATAATTACAAAAATAAAATGAAAATCACATATATTATGATATAATAATAATAACAACAACAATAATAACAACTTTCTTGCGAGCCACCATCTTGTTGAGGTGAAAGAGTTCAGTAGTTACAATGAATCATAGAGTGATGCTGGTGAGAGCATAAGCTTCCAGTAAAGCCACCCATTCCAGTAAGGTCTATACTAGTTGAAATTGTGTTTATGTTTTCATTAATGCATGTTATACTGTGTATGTTTTCATAAATGACTGCTTTTGAGGCATTGTCAATGAGTGTCTGATCTACCATGTAATGTAGTGTTTGTGTGTTAGTGTGTCTGCTATGGAACTTGTTATTTGATATGTTCAATCATTATTTGTAGAATAAGGTTGTTGCGTATAATTATTCTTTTCTGATCAAAAACTCTTTGTCCTATAACAGTGAGATGTGGGTATTTTTGTGTCTGTCTGTAAGCTGCCATATCTGTTTTAAGTTTTGTAATAGTGTAGTAGGTATGGTTAATGAATTCATTCATTTGTTCAGTCCATTTGATTTGTTAGCTTGATTTTCCAGCCATAGTGTTCAGTGACTGGATTACCTCTGTATTTTAGTATTTTACCTGGATTGGTGTGTGTTGTTGTTCATTATGTGTGAGTGAAGCAGTGAATGTTTGTGATGCAGTAGCCATATTTGGGCCAGTGCTGCATTTACTATGGACGGCCAAAGAAGACTGTGGCAAATTACTATAGCTACTTACTATGGTCTTAAATTACAATCAGAGACAGATACAATCAAAACACAGACAAATCATAAGCTTTCCTGGCAAAGAAGACTATAAATAAATAAAAGTAGACAACAATTAGGCAGGCTGACACAATACTAAAAATAACCTAACATCAAACTTAATGAAAGTTAGGAAAATATTCAGGAAAAATAAAATGCACATGTGCTCGCATGCACACAGGAACAATACCATATGCACATATAGAAATATATTAATACATCCAAACAAAAAATTTATGGAGAATGGATGAGATACATATTGTGCCAGTAGCTGTTTCTCTCGGAGGCATCATACCACATACATTTGTATAATGTATGTGGTATGATGTTGCACAACAGCATATGCATCACTTTACAATGGCTACATACTAAACCTATTCCATATAATAAGGAAATTCTTAAACACAGCTACATACATGAACTGTACATACACAAAATGTTCATTTTTTATAGTTATGCCTTGACTTTGGTCTAGCATTGTACTAAGTTTGGCACTCATATATATATATATATTACTATGTAGAATATATTTCAACAACACCACATGATGATGATGATAATGGTAATAATGTTTGTTTTATTTTTAAGGTAATGCTACAACAGGATTTATAAATTCAATTTCTTTAGTTCCAAAAAGATATTTGGCATATCTTGCTTCATTTAGTAGAATGGCCACATTGAAACAAGTATTTGATTATTTATGTGCTCGTCTTCGATTGAGGTTAGAGGATACAAGATTCTGGTTATATAGAGATGATGTAAGTTATTTCCCTTTATATAGCCTACTTATAGAAAAACAGATTCTCTTGAATCAAGTTAATATGATTAAGTTTTAAAAAATTTAACTTTTTATTATAATAATATATAGTTTTTGATATACATAACATATATATTTATACAATTTATATAAGTTACATATTAATACTTTCTTTCTTAAAAAGAAAACAAATATGTAAAATGGATTAATTTATGAATATGACTTTGAAAAAGAGATTATGCAGCAAAAATAAATCACTTGCAAAGTTGATACATACAATATATGAAACATATTAAGAAAGTAAGTTCTAATTATGCGTAGTTCTGAAAATAATTTTTGATTATGAATTCATAGCATATTTAGTAACAGCTTTGCAACTAGTATTTTTTCATTGCATAGTCTTAAATTTTTTAATATAATCTAATATATATATGTCATGTTTTAGTTTTATATATATAACATAGCTGATAATGACATTTATTATACTATAAAACTCTCTTCCAGTTTTCCAGTTATTAAAAGAAAGATGTTACCTTAACCACTCAGCTGACTGACGACTATAGTTGGCTTTTGAGGGGTATCACCAAAAACTAGCCTAAAACTACCGCAGAAAATAATTCAGATAAAAAATGAATTATGTAACAATAAAAAGATACTTTTCTTTACTAGACATAACAGTTTACAAAATCTTTTTCCGAAACAGCAATGAAAAAAAAAACGTGAGGAAAAATACTTTAAATATTTCCCACGTTTATTCTCCTCTACTAGAGGTAGAACCATACCCATCTAGTTCAATGTTGAAAGGTTAAGATGATAGTTATAGAAAAAGAATATTATATTTTCAGATTATTTTTGCTAACATATTTTGAAAAATTGAAGAAAATACAACTTATTTAAAATAGATAGATAAAATTAAATTACATAAAAGAATAGGTTTTTTCTGATAAACTTTTCTAATTGAAGATATTTTACATCAATAAAAGTCTTAAAACAGAAAATTGATAACAAAAATATTTGATAGATATATTATATTTTTTGATTTTTAAGTAAATTTTTCTGAACATTTGTACTGTACATAGGCAATGATTACAATGGTATGAATATAATAAATTATCAAATGATATCAGTAAAAAAATGTTACTAGAATAAAAAAATTTGATTTATTTTAATATCTAAATTTTTTTAATTTGTGAAAATGAAGTTTATTTATAGTCTTCAATTTTTTTCTTTTTTATGCAGGGAAATATGGTTATTTTGGAAGAAGAAGAATATATATTAGAACAGTTATCCACACAAGATAATGAAGTGCAGTTATTGATTGAAGGTAATTATTGAATCAAACATTTTCAGAAATTAACCATTTAAATATTTTTGGGATTATTTTTTTCTTCCTAATAGAAAGCATTTATAGGTTTAAATTAATGTGTAATAAGTTTCTCGTGTGTTTCTCAAAACAGAATTTACTAAATGATAATAGTTGATGAATTGTACTTATTATTATAATATTATCATATGTAAGATAATTTTGGTTTAAAGTATATTATTATTTTAATAATTTATTGGAAATAATCACTTCAGTTCTAATGAGATATAATTTTTAAGAGTAATCTTTTAAAAAACCATAATGATACATTAAAAAAAGGAATTTCTTTAATATTAACTCTTTGATAGATTAATATGTAGAAATAAGAATGCAGTAATTTCTTATCTGTTTCATATCCCATCACATATATTAATATCAAACATAAAAATGGCTTCAAATCGTGACAAATTAAGTTTATGGAATCAAATGGGGATACATATAAAATAACAATAATGACATCCAAGTTGAATATCAATACCATAGCAAATCAGTTATTTTCTGATGATATATGAAGTTTAGAAAAGTTTTTTTGGTGTTACTAATTTTACAAAATGAAATATATTTATTTACTAATGTTCTTGTTAGTAAGTAAATATATTTCATTTTATTTTCTAACTTTCATTTGAAATAATAAAAATAAATAATGCAAATTTCTTGTTGAATTTTTAATTGATTTTGGAAATTTATTTATAACAGTTGTCATTAAATAAAAATTAATATTTAATGCACTTTCTTTTTCTTTCAGTTCGAAATAAAGATCAGACATGGCCAGAAGAAATGTCTAATCTTATAAATGCTAAATTGGACCAAAAAAGTCAAGGTAATTTTAAAAATTATTTGTAGTGTTTATTATATTTTGTAAAATTATAAAAAAATTAACTGAAATGAGTTAAATATATTACATCATATATCATATCCATGTAATATAAAATAAATTATATTGATTATAGAACAAAATATTAAATCATCCTTAAAATTAAATAATGTAAAAAATTTTTAAATTTTGAGATCACATATTGTCAATAAAAATTTTGAGATCACATATTGAGCAAAAGAAGTACAGTAATACCCCGAACATACGCGATAGGTGGGACTGAGCGATAACCGCGTAAGTCGAATTTGCGTAAGTCTGGGTATAATTTCGCAATTTGTGTAAAATCCAAGTCAGATACATGTAAGCTAATAAATGTTCTTGTTAATCTTATCTCGTCTTTTGATTTATTCACGGTTACAAGAAATCACCACATAGAGTCTCTCAAGTCTTCGTAGATATAACAAACACAGAAATAAATAACACAAAATAAATTGTAGCTATGTGTCAATTCCACGCAACACATCTGAACATGTAAGCTGAACAATAGTGTGGGGGGAGTGAGTAATCAAGAGTTGCGTGGCGCTTAAACAAAATACAAATCAATGAGATTTGAAAATCGCATAACTTTGGGTTCGCGTAAGTTGAGGTATTACTGTATTACTGTTTTTATTCAGTAAGTTTCATGTATGTTAGAGAAAGGAAAATAAAAGGAAAGTTCTTGAGTTTTAAAGTTTGCAAATCTAATGTATTTTAAAGTTAATCACATTTGTAATTTTGTTTGATATTTCAAACAAAAATATCTGTCCTTTTTTATAAATAAAAATTGTGTAATCTCTATTTATTCTAATATTTTATTGGAAAACTTTTTATGTAAAAGTTTTTTCATTTACTCAATAAATTTAAATTTTAAGTAGTGAATGTAAACTGGAATTTTGTAAGCCAAATTTCAAATACAGAAATGATTCTTCAATTTGAAACAGAAAAAGAAAATAAATAATAATAACTAGCAAGTAATAAGAAAGATTCAGTAATTGCATTTTTATAAAAATTTATAAATTATAAATTTTGAATACATGTTTGAATATATATTTGAACTTGAAATTTTACATAAACTGTAAACAAAAAATATTTCAGTAATTTAATACTAATTTTAATGTAATGTATATATTATTAGGGATAATAGAACTAATTATATCTAATTACATCTTTAGTTTTGTAATACACCTTTTATGAGCCCAGAACTAATTAACAAAATGGCATTACATAAAACAGTGAAAGTCAAGGGTTGGTTGGTTGCAAGACCTGGACTTCAGTAAATGGGTAAAATAACATGAATGGGATAGTTTGCAACAATGATTATAGTAACAAAAGTTTATTGAAAATATTATGAACAAATGAATGAAATATGTACAAGATGTTAAATAAAAAAGCATGAAAATACATTAATGACAATAAACCAAACAAAGTTATAAAAAATCAGAACTATAATTAGTCCAATGAAACCAAAAACCAAATGTTCACAAAACTTTCCCAGCAATTGGGGAGCTTAAATCTAACTTAATCTCTTGTTTTATAAGCTTTAAATTAGAGAAATAATAATAATAATGCTAATGATGTGGTAAAATAATAATGTTACATATAAAAAAATATATATATATAAATTAAAATGCCGAAGGTCCGAAAGTACATAGTCTCTAGTTCCTATGTCTAACGTCTTATTTATTTGGTGTTTGCTGCTCTGGGATGTGAAACTTCCAATGACTTATAAGCTAAAATAAGCACTAAAATTTTAGATGCCCAATTTTTGGAAATGCTTGAGAAGTGGATTTTATTATTTGGACAAGGAGCTATTTGTGTTTAAGGCTATATGCTCACCATGTTTCATTCAAATATATTTAAAAACTATTCAACTGAAATTATATATAATGAAACCTAATTAAAATAACTTAATTTTGTATCTAATCTAAATTATTAAAGCATCCTAAATGAATAAACATTTTGTGATATATTTTTTTTTAATAGCTTTCACTTTTTCAAGGATTAATTAAATTTTATTCAGTTGTTTCATTAATGGATATTACATGGTTTGAAATAATATATTAGAAGTATCCTACAAATAATATTTTAACTAACTTAAAAATTACATTTGTCAACAAATAATTATTGTAAAGATTTTTTTTATAGGGCCTACAGAGAAAGGTGCAACTGGATTGAATAACTTAGGAAATACCTGTTTTATGAATGCTGCTTTACAGTGTGTCAGCAATACAAGACCATTAACTTTATATTTTACATTGGATAAACATCTGTATGAACTGAACAGGTAGAAAAATGTCAGTTCAAACTCTTAAAAATCGAATTTTTTTTTTAAATTAAGAAATTAATAAAAATTATATTTTGTTGACAAAAATTTATATTTAATAATTTATTTTAGATCTAATCCATTAGGAATGAAAGGTCATATTGCTAAAAGATATGGTGATTTAGTTCATGATTTGTGGAGTGGTACTTCAAAAACAATTGCTCCTTTAAAACTTAGGGTAAGAGATTTATTTTAAATGTTTATCAAATTAATCCAAAATCTAAATTATAAAATATATAAATATTTCATAAATTATTACTTATTTTCTTTTAATCAGTGGACTATTGGAAAATATGCACCTAGATTTAATGGATTCCAACAACATGATTCGCAAGAATTACTGGCATTTCTTATGGATGGTCTTCATGAAGATCTAAATAGGTAAATTAATTAGGCATTTATACTTACTAATTTATAACTTTTAGATTTATTAATAATAATAATCTTAACTATTTGAAAATAGGTAGAATGCAGTTTGTCTCTCAAAAAATACCATTATACATATCTTAAGCATATAATTTTTTGTATTCAGCTGTGTAATATAGTTATTGCATTATTGTATTTTGAAGTCTTGATAAGTCAAAATTATCTCTGTCTTTCTTGACAGGGATAATAAAGAGTCTTACTCTTAAAAATAAGCAATTATTTATGACATTGTCACAACCTGGGCTGCAATTTTTTATCATATTTTTATTTTATTTAATTTAAAATATATGCTCTCTACCTCAAATTAGTAGTGTCTTGCCCCTGTACATCATACTGTTCCTGTAGCAGTAGAATCTTGCTGGTTATCGATCTAACTCTTTTCAGGGAAAATTTTCAAATTAAATAATGTGACTTCCAGTTTGCATTGAAAGTTTATATATAGTTAATTGAGCCTCCTCCTGCCCTAAAACTTTCGATATCTGATCTTGAATTTCATTTATCTAACACCGTTTTCGAGATTAAGGAAAGACAGATGGATGACAGTGGAATTTTTAGATCTACAGTTTTTCAAATTGCAGCTCAAATGGATGTTTTTATTTATTTTAATCTAATAATTTCATATTTATCTTATACTGTGATCTATCAGCTAATATCTAAATGTGTTGTGATGTTATCTGTCAGAGTTATTGTTATTTGATGAAACAACTTAGTTGTTAATTGGTTGAAACTTAGAAACTTTATTTTATGATGATTCTTATTTGATTTGAATTGATGCTGAAATTGAAGATGGAAAACTGTTATCTCAGATAATTATTAGAGATGAATCTTTATTCTTTCTCTATAATCATTAGACTTGAAAACAGAGTAATCAGTGGGTGGAAGAAGGTGTAGGCATAATCACAGAAAACACTTGAACATTATAAATGAAAATCAAAATATTGATAATTTTTACTTTGTATCCATGGTGTTGTGCACAAGAAATTTTATTCATTTTTTTATTACACGAAACAAAAGTTTATCTATTGACACATATCATACGTTTGTTATGTTTTTCCAAATTGCTAAAAAGTAGATGGATTCACTTGATCATGATAATACATTTGATCATTGTGCATGAGTGCTTAATCTGAAAAAATTTTAATGCTTCAACACACACTGTACAGAGCAAATCTTATTTATACATCTTTTCTATATTTTTAAAAATAAAATAATTAATGAAAGAACATCATTTTGGATAGTGGAGGACATTCAAAAAGATGTGACTGAGATACTGAGAGGACTAATAAATGAATGCTGATCTCTTTTGCCAATTTTGAGTTTCAAGACTGGAAGAAGAGATGACATAAGTGTGCCATATTAGGATGGAACTATTATGAAAATATTAATTAATTACGAAAAAATTATGCCTTAATAAAATATTTATAATAAAATTCTTATTATTTTATTGCTAAACCTCTTATTTATGTTGTGTTGTTTTTTAATGTCAGTATTTATGTATTCATTTATTTAGTACAATATATATGTATTAATTTGTATTTGTGTATTGTGTTTTGTATTTAGTTATGTCCATGTAAATAATTGCATCTCTATTGTGACAAATTTCAGGCATAATATAACATTTTTCAAGTTCTATGTTTTATCTTTAATTTGTATTTTTTCTTAACTCCTTAAGCCTCCAGCAATTTTTGGTATTAATGTAATTAAACATAAAAAATACTCAAAACTGAAAGAAAAAACGGAAGAAATGCGTTAATTTTGAAGAAAAAGCTTCAAATTTTATTTTCCTTTGTCTCGCCTTTCTGTGAAATTTGACACTGATGTGTACACAGCTGGATGACCTTGAGAACAGCTGGTGTCGTATTTCCTGGGACATTCTCATAGACGTCTTGGGAGGAGAAGGGTTTAAAGTAGGGTGAATACTAACTAGACCTATATTTTTAAATATTTTTAAAAAATTACGTTTTTTATTGTGATTCCCGACCCCCTGACTTAATTAAACTTATATATAATAAAATCTATTAATTAAAAAAATTAAAAAACTATTGGAGGTCGTTTTTGACATCAGAAATTAGCTTTAAATAACTTTACCAAAGGAAAATCAGTGCACTACAACTTTAGAACGATGAATGAAATTTGATATCAAACTCCCATTAAAACTATTAAAAAGCAATTAAGCATGAAGCATGTTTCATTAAAGGTAAATTAAAATCGCAATAAAATTTTTTTCTGCGGAGGGAAAAATTTTGAAAAAATTTGGCCTTAAGGACCGCATTTTATGTAACGCTATGTAACTTGCCCGAGATATCTCGGGCTTGGGGCTTAAGGGTTTTAATTAATAATATTTTGTATTCATGACTTGATCTTTTATAAAAATTATGAACCATTTATTTTCTCAAAGAATTTACCTTGATCCAAACAGTAATTTGATGCAGTTTTGTCAGGATTACTCTAAATAAGATCAACAGAATGTCTATATGAACACATGAATATTTCAGTATCTGTTTTTGTGTGTGTGTTATGTTTGGATTAATTATATAAAGATTTAACAGTGTTTGTTTTTTAATTATACTTTAAGTTGTTTTGATGTATCTGTTATTTACAGAAAAATGTTTACAGTTATTTGTATTTGTTTGTGATGGAGGTATATTATGTTAACAAGATTGTTCTTTCTCTCTTTACAAGGGGAACTCAATCTTTCTGTAATGTATTTTAGTTTTTGTTTTATTTTTGTATTTTATGAGTTTGACTGTTGGTATCCTCAATTTACTTTATTTATTTGGTTTTTATATAAATAAAGCAAAAACTGTGCAGAGGTTTGGTATAAATGAAAATTGACAAAAGTTTTCAAATTATAATAAATTAACTTTCATCAAAATTAACGTACAGTGGAACCTTGCTTAACAAGCATAATTTGTTCCAGAATTGTACTCGTAATGCGAAACACTTGTTAAGTGAAACAATTTTTTCCATAGAAATTAAAGTAAAATACGATAATGCATTCCACGCCAAAAAAAAAACTCAAATATTTTATGTATGGTGTTTATTCAAAGAAAATTGTACAATGTGTATTGTTAAGGAGCGTGAAGCATCATCATTTTTTCTTCTAGCATTGAATGAACCAACCTAGAATGAGAATTCGATTTGCAGAAAACAAAAAAATCACAGATAATATGTTTGATAAACACGCCAAACGATATGCCAAATTCTTGGACTATGTAAAGGCTATAATTAAATAATAGAAATTAATTAATTTGACTAGAGGTAGGCAATTATGCTGCCATCTCGTAATAAATTTAGTGACCAATTCCAAATTAAATTTTAGAAATGTCTGAATTAAAAATTAACTATTTATAATTATTAAATTTAATACAAGATGGAAGCATAACTGCCTANTATTCTATTAATATGATAATAGTTCATTTTTAATAATAATAATATTTGCAAATAATTACAAAAATAAAATGAAAATCACATATATTATGATATAATAATAATAACAACAACAATAATAACAACTTTCTTGCGAGCCACCATCTTGTTGAGGTGAAAGAGTTCAGTAGTTACAATGAATCATAGAGTGATGCTGGTGAGAGCATAAGCTTCCAGTAAAGCCACCCATTCCAGTAAGGTCTATACTAGTTGAAATTGTGTTTATGTTTTCATTAATGCATGTTATACTGTGTATGTTTTCATAAATGACTGCTTTTGAGGCATTGTCAATGAGTGTCTGATCTACCATGTAATGTAGTGTTTGTGTGTTAGTGTGTCTGCTATGGAACTTGTTATTTGATATGTTCAATCATTATTTGTAGAATAAGGTTGTTGCGTATAATTATTCTTTTCTGATCAAAAACTCTTTGTCCTATAACAGTGAGATGTGGGTATTTTTGTGTCTGTCTGTAAGCTGCCATATCTGTTTTAAGTTTTGTAATAGTGTAGTAGGTATGGTTAATGAATTCATTCATTTGTTCAGTCCATTTGATTTGTTAGCTTGATTTTCCAGCCATAGTGTTCAGTGACTGGATTACCTCTGTATTTTAGTATTTTACCTGGATTGGTGTGTGTTGTTGTTCATTATGTGTGAGTGAAGCAGTGAATGTTTGTGATGCAGTAGCCATATTTGGGCCAGTGCTGCATTTACTATGGACGGCCAAAGAAGACTGTGGCAAATTACTATAGCTACTTACTATGGTCTTAAATTACAATCAGAGACAGATACAATCAAAACACAGACAAATCATAAGCTTTCCTGGCAAAGAAGACTATAAATAAATAAAAGTAGACAACAATTAGGCAGGCTGACACAATACTAAAAATAACCTAACATCAAACTTAATGAAAGTTAGGAAAATATTCAGGAAAAATAAAATGCACATGTGCTCGCATGCACACAGGAACAATACCATATGCACATATAGAAATATATTAATACATCCAAACAAAAAATTTATGGAGAATGGATGAGATACATATTGTGCCAGTAGCTGTTTCTCTCGGAGGCATCATACCACATACATTTGTATAATGTATGTGGTATGATGTTGCACAACAGCATATGCATCACTTTACAATGGCTACATACTAAACCTATTCCATATAATAAGGAAATTCTTAAACACAGCTACATACATGAACTGTACATACACAAAATGTTCATTTTTTATAGTTATGCCTTGACTTTGGTCTAGCATTGTACTAAGTTTGGCACTCATATATATATATATATTACTATGTAGAATATATTTCAACAACACCACATGATGATGATGATAATGGTAATAATGTTTGTTTTATTTTTAAGGTAATGCTACAACAGGATTTATAAATTCAATTTCTTTAGTTCCAAAAAGATATTTGGCATATCTTGCTTCATTTAGTAGAATGGCCACATTGAAACAAGTATTTGATTATTTATGTGCTCGTCTTCGATTGAGGTTAGAGGATACAAGATTCTGGTTATATAGAGATGATGTAAGTTATTTCCCTTTATATAGCCTACTTATAGAAAAACAGATTCTCTTGAATCAAGTTAATATGATTAAGTTTTAAAAAATTTAACTTTTTATTATAATAATATATAGTTTTTGATATACATAACATATATATTTATACAATTTATATAAGTTACATATTAATACTTTCTTTCTTAAAAAGAAAACAAATATGTAAAATGGATTAATTTATGAATATGACTTTGAAAAAGAGATTATGCAGCAAAAATAAATCACTTGCAAAGTTGATACATACAATATATGAAACATATTAAGAAAGTAAGTTCTAATTATGCGTAGTTCTGAAAATAATTTTTGATTATGAATTCATAGCATATTTAGTAACAGCTTTGCAACTAGTATTTTTTCATTGCATAGTCTTAAATTTTTTAATATAATCTAATATATATATGTCATGTTTTAGTTTTATATATATAACATAGCTGATAATGACATTTATTATACTATAAAACTCTCTTCCAGTTTTCCAGTTATTAAAAGAAAGATGTTACCTTAACCACTCAGCTGACTGACGACTATAGTTGGCTTTTGAGGGGTATCACCAAAAACTAGCCTAAAACTACCGCAGAAAATAATTCAGATAAAAAATGAATTATGTAACAATAAAAAGATACTTTTCTTTACTAGACATAACAGTTTACAAAATCTTTTTCCGAAACAGCAATGAAAAAAAAAACGTGAGGAAAAATACTTTAAATATTTCCCACGTTTATTCTCCTCTACTAGAGGTAGAACCATACCCATCTAGTTCAATGTTGAAAGGTTAAGATGATAGTTATAGAAAAAGAATATTATATTTTCAGATTATTTTTGCTAACATATTTTGAAAAATTGAAGAAAATACAACTTATTTAAAATAGATAGATAAAATTAAATTACATAAAAGAATAGGTTTTTTCTGATAAACTTTTCTAATTGAAGATATTTTACATCAATAAAAGTCTTAAAACAGAAAATTGATAACAAAAATATTTGATAGATATATTATATTTTTTGATTTTTAAGTAAATTTTTCTGAACATTTGTACTGTACATAGGCAATGATTACAATGGTATGAATATAATAAATTATCAAATGATATCAGTAAAAAAATGTTACTAGAATAAAAAAATTTGATTTATTTTAATATCTAAATTTTTTTAATTTGTGAAAATGAAGTTTATTTATAGTCTTCAATTTTTTTCTTTTTTATGCAGGGAAATATGGTTATTTTGGAAGAAGAAGAATATATATTAGAACAGTTATCCACACAAGATAATGAAGTGCAGTTATTGATTGAAGGTAATTATTGAATCAAACATTTTCAGAAATTAACCATTTAAATATTTTTGGGATTATTTTTTTCTTCCTAATAGAAAGCATTTATAGGTTTAAATTAATGTGTAATAAGTTTCTCGTGTGTTTCTCAAAACAGAATTTACTAAATGATAATAGTTGATGAATTGTACTTATTATTATAATATTATCATATGTAAGATAATTTTGGTTTAAAGTATATTATTATTTTAATAATTTATTGGAAATAATCACTTCAGTTCTAATGAGATATAATTTTTAAGAGTAATCTTTTAAAAAACCATAATGATACATTAAAAAAAGGAATTTCTTTAATATTAACTCTTTGATAGATTAATATGTAGAAATAAGAATGCAGTAATTTCTTATCTGTTTCATATCCCATCACATATATTAATATCAAACATAAAAATGGCTTCAAATCGTGACAAATTAAGTTTATGGAATCAAATGGGGATACATATAAAATAACAATAATGACATCCAAGTTGAATATCAATACCATAGCAAATCAGTTATTTTCTGATGATATATGAAGTTTAGAAAAGTTTTTTTGGTGTTACTAATTTTACAAAATGAAATATATTTATTTACTAATGTTCTTGTTAGTAAGTAAATATATTTCATTTTATTTTCTAACTTTCATTTGAAATAATAAAAATAAATAATGCAAATTTCTTGTTGAATTTTTAATTGATTTTGGAAATTTATTTATAACAGTTGTCATTAAATAAAAATTAATATTTAATGCACTTTCTTTTTCTTTCAGTTCGAAATAAAGATCAGACATGGCCAGAAGAAATGTCTAATCTTATAAATGCTAAATTGGACCAAAAAAGTCAAGGTAATTTTAAAAATTATTTGTAGTGTTTATTATATTTTGTAAAATTATAAAAAAATTAACTGAAATGAGTTAAATATATTACATCATATATCATATCCATGTAATATAAAATAAATTATATTGATTATAGAACAAAATATTAAATCATCCTTAAAATTAAATAATGTAAAAAATTTTTAAATTTTGAGATCACATATTGTCAATAAAAATTTTGAGATCACATATTGAGCAAAAGAAGTACAGTAATACCCCGAACATACGCGATAGGTGGGACTGAGCGATAACCGCGTAAGTCGAATTTGCGTAAGTCTGGGTATAATTTCGCAATTTGTGTAAAATCCAAGTCAGATACATGTAAGCTAATAAATGTTCTTGTTAATCTTATCTCGTCTTTTGATTTATTCACGGTTACAAGAAATCACCACATAGAGTCTCTCAAGTCTTCGTAGATATAACAAACACAGAAATAAATAACACAAAATAAATTGTAGCTATGTGTCAATTCCACGCAACACATCTGAACATGTAAGCTGAACAATAGTGTGGGGGGAGTGAGTAATCAAGAGTTGCGTGGCGCTTAAACAAAATACAAATCAATGAGATTTGAAAATCGCATAACTTTGGGTTCGCGTAAGTTGAGGTATTACTGTATTACTGTTTTTATTCAGTAAGTTTCATGTATGTTAGAGAAAGGAAAATAAAAGGAAAGTTCTTGAGTTTTAAAGTTTGCAAATCTAATGTATTTTAAAGTTAATCACATTTGTAATTTTGTTTGATATTTCAAACAAAAATATCTGTCCTTTTTTATAAATAAAAATTGTGTAATCTCTATTTATTCTAATATTTTATTGGAAAACTTTTTATGTAAAAGTTTTTTCATTTACTCAATAAATTTAAATTTTAAGTAGTGAATGTAAACTGGAATTTTGTAAGCCAAATTTCAAATACAGAAATGATTCTTCAATTTGAAACAGAAAAAGAAAATAAATAATAATAACTAGCAAGTAATAAGAAAGATTCAGTAATTGCATTTTTATAAAAATTTATAAATTATAAATTTTGAATACATGTTTGAATATATATTTGAACTTGAAATTTTACATAAACTGTAAACAAAAAATATTTCAGTAATTTAATACTAATTTTAATGTAATGTATATATTATTAGGGATAATAGAACTAATTATATCTAATTACATCTTTAGTTTTGTAATACACCTTTTATGAGCCCAGAACTAATTAACAAAATGGCATTACATAAAACAGTGAAAGTCAAGGGTTGGTTGGTTGCAAGACCTGGACTTCAGTAAATGGGTAAAATAACATGAATGGGATAGTTTGCAACAATGATTATAGTAACAAAAGTTTATTGAAAATATTATGAACAAATGAATGAAATATGTACAAGATGTTAAATAAAAAAGCATGAAAATACATTAATGACAATAAACCAAACAAAGTTATAAAAAATCAGAACTATAATTAGTCCAATGAAACCAAAAACCAAATGTTCACAAAACTTTCCCAGCAATTGGGGAGCTTAAATCTAACTTAATCTCTTGTTTTATAAGCTTTAAATTAGAGAAATAATAATAATAATGCTAATGATGTGGTAAAATAATAATGTTACATATAAAAAAATATATATATATAAATTAAAATGCCGAAGGTCCGAAAGTACATAGTCTCTAGTTCCTATGTCTAACGTCTTATTTATTTGGTGTTTGCTGCTCTGGGATGTGAAACTTCCAATGACTTATAAGCTAAAATAAGCACTAAAATTTTAGATGCCCAATTTTTGGAAATGCTTGAGAAGTGGATTTTATTATTTGGACAAGGAGCTATTTGTGTTTAAGGCTATATGCTCACCATGTTTCATTCAAATATATTTAAAAACTATTCAACTGAAATTATATATAATGAAACCTAATTAAAATAACTTAATTTTGTATCTAATCTAAATTATTAAAGCATCCTAAATGAATAAACATTTTGTGATATATTTTTTTTTAATAGCTTTCACTTTTTCAAGGATTAATTAAATTTTATTCAGTTGTTTCATTAATGGATATTACATGGTTTGAAATAATATATTAGAAGTATCCTACAAATAATATTTTAACTAACTTAAAAATTACATTTGTCAACAAATAATTATTGTAAAGATTTTTTTTATAGGGCCTACAGAGAAAGGTGCAACTGGATTGAATAACTTAGGAAATACCTGTTTTATGAATGCTGCTTTACAGTGTGTCAGCAATACAAGACCATTAACTTTATATTTTACATTGGATAAACATCTGTATGAACTGAACAGGTAGAAAAATGTCAGTTCAAACTCTTAAAAATCGAATTTTTTTTTTAAATTAAGAAATTAATAAAAATTATATTTTGTTGACAAAAATTTATATTTAATAATTTATTTTAGATCTAATCCATTAGGAATGAAAGGTCATATTGCTAAAAGATATGGTGATTTAGTTCATGATTTGTGGAGTGGTACTTCAAAAACAATTGCTCCTTTAAAACTTAGGGTAAGAGATTTATTTTAAATGTTTATCAAATTAATCCAAAATCTAAATTATAAAATATATAAATATTTCATAAATTATTACTTATTTTCTTTTAATCAGTGGACTATTGGAAAATATGCACCTAGATTTAATGGATTCCAACAACATGATTCGCAAGAATTACTGGCATTTCTTATGGATGGTCTTCATGAAGATCTAAATAGGTAAATTAATTAGGCATTTATACTTACTAATTTATAACTTTTAGATTTATTAATAATAATAATCTTAACTATTTGAAAATAGGTAGAATGCAGTTTGTCTCTCAAAAAATACCATTATACATATCTTAAGCATATAATTTTTTGTATTCAGCTGTGTAATATAGTTATTGCATTATTGTATTTTGAAGTCTTGATAAGTCAAAATTATCTCTGTCTTTCTTGACAGGGATAATAAAGAGTCTTACTCTTAAAAATAAGCAATTATTTATGACATTGTCACAACCTGGGCTGCAATTTTTTATCATATTTTTATTTTATTTAATTTAAAATATATGCTCTCTACCTCAAATTAGTAGTGTCTTGCCCCTGTACATCATACTGTTCCTGTAGCAGTAGAATCTTGCTGGTTATCGATCTAACTCTTTTCAGGGAAAATTTTCAAATTAAATAATGTGACTTCCAGTTTGCATTGAAAGTTTATATATAGTTAATTGAGCCTCCTCCTGCCCTAAAACTTTCGATATCTGATCTTGAATTTCATTTATCTAACACCGTTTTCGAGATTAAGGAAAGACAGATGGATGACAGTGGAATTTTTAGATCTACAGTTTTTCAAATTGCAGCTCAAATGGATGTTTTTATTTATTTTAATCTAATAATTTCATATTTATCTTATACTGTGATCTATCAGCTAATATCTAAATGTGTTGTGATGTTATCTGTCAGAGTTATTGTTATTTGATGAAACAACTTAGTTGTTAATTGGTTGAAACTTAGAAACTTTATTTTATGATGATTCTTATTTGATTTGAATTGATGCTGAAATTGAAGATGGAAAACTGTTATCTCAGATAATTATTAGAGATGAATCTTTATTCTTTCTCTATAATCATTAGACTTGAAAACAGAGTAATCAGTGGGTGGAAGAAGGTGTAGGCATAATCACAGAAAACACTTGAACATTATAAATGAAAATCAAAATATTGATAATTTTTACTTTGTATCCATGGTGTTGTGCACAAGAAATTTTATTCATTTTTTTATTACACGAAACAAAAGTTTATCTATTGACACATATCATACGTTTGTTATGTTTTTCCAAATTGCTAAAAAGTAGATGGATTCACTTGATCATGATAATACATTTGATCATTGTGCATGAGTGCTTAATCTGAAAAAATTTTAATGCTTCAACACACACTGTACAGAGCAAATCTTATTTATACATCTTTTCTATATTTTTAAAAATAAAATAATTAATGAAAGAACATCATTTTGGATAGTGGAGGACATTCAAAAAGATGTGACTGAGATACTGAGAGGACTAATAAATGAATGCTGATCTCTTTTGCCAATTTTGAGTTTCAAGACTGGAAGAAGAGATGACATAAGTGTGCCATATTAGGATGGAACTATTATGAAAATATTAATTAATTACGAAAAAATTATGCCTTAATAAAATATTTATAATAAAATTTTTATTATTTTATTGCTAAACCTCTTATTTATGTTGTGTTGTTTTTTAATGTCAGTATTTATGTATTCATTTATTTAGTACAATATATATGTATTAATTTGTATTTGTGTATTGTGTTTTGTATTTAGTTATGTCCATGTAAATAATTGCATCTCTATTGTGACAAATTTCAGGCATAATATAACATTTTTCAAGTTCTATGTTTTATCTTTAATTTGTATTTTTTCTTAACTCCTTAAGCCTCCAGCAATTTTTGGTATTAATGTAATTAAACATAAAAAATACTCAAAACTGAAAGAAAAAACGGAAGAAATGCGTTAATTTTGAAGAAAAAGCTTCAAATTTTATTTTCCTTTGTCTCGCCTTTCTGTGAAATTTGACACTGATGTGTCATTGTTTACACAGCTGGATGACCTTGAGAACAGCTGGTGTCGTATTTCCTGGGACATTCTCATAGACGTCTTGGGAGGAGAAGGGTTTAAAGTAGGGTGAATACTAACTAGACCTATATTTTTAAATATTTTTAAAAAATTACGTTTTTTATTGTGATTCCCGACCCCCTGACTTAATTAAACTTATATATAATAAAATCTATTAATTAAAAAAATTAAAAAACTATTGGAGGTCGTTTTTGACATCAGAAATTAGCTTTAAATAACTTTACCAAAGGAAAATCAGTGCACTACAACTTTAGAACGATGAATGAAATTTGATATCAAACTCCCATTAAAAAACTATTAATTAATTAAATAAGGTCTGTTTTTTAATAAGAAGAAAAATACTTTAGATATTATTAAAATATATTTTTCCCCGTATTCTACATACTTTTATCTACTTTTGTACATAATTTCCATTTTTGTTAAAACATTTGTCATACCTCTGAAAAATTTTTTAATTCTGACTTCAAAGAAATCTGCCGCCTGCTGCCAGAAGACATTAGGCAACACCGCTTGTCTTGTATGGCATGGCAGAGTTTTCTCAAGGTCACACAATAAGCATCAGAACTGATTGTTGTGCCTCTTGGCATAAAATCCACTAACAAAGTCCCTTTCCTGTCCCAAAAGACAGTTACCATGATCTTTCGTGCNAGCCTGTTATATAATAAACATGCCAAACAATATGCCAAATTCTTGGGCTATGTAAAGGCTATAATTAAATATTAGAAATTAATTAATTTGACTAGAGGTAGGCAGTTATGCTTCCATCTTGTATTAAATTTAATAATTATAAAGAGTTAATTTTTAATTCAGACATTTCTAAAATTTAATTTGGAATTGGTTATTAAATTTAATACAAGATGGCAGCATAACTGCCTACCTCTAGTCAAATTAATTAATTTCTATTATTTAATTATAGCCTTTACATAGCCCAAGAATTTGGCATATTGTTTGGCATGTTTATTATATAACAGGCTATGGTTGTTGATGTTTAAAAGTAATATGTGATCATAAGCGACACTAAGATGCTAGTGGAATGAGTGCTAAACACAGACTAATGGAGCATGCACACAATTCAGGACTTTCCCTCTCCTCTTCACTCATTATGCAAAACATTGCTCATTAAGCGAGGTAATTTTTTACAATTTGTTTTGCTCGTTAAGCGAGGTTCCACTGTACTATAATTAAATGCTTGATTGCATTGATTGATGTATTTGAGCTTTTTATAATTAAGAGTTAATTAATTACTATAATTAATATAGTGAAATAATAATAATAGTAAAATTTTTATGAAAATTTACTCTAGGGTTCACGAAAAACCTTATGTAGAACTCAAAGATAGTGATGGACGGCCAGATGAGGAAGTAGCAAAGGAAGCTTGGGAGAATCACATCATTCGCAATCGCTCAATAATAGTAGATCTTTTTCATGGCCAGTTGCAATCTACTGTTACTTGTAAAGTGTGTGGTCACAATAGTGTGCGTTTTGATCCATTCAACTATTTATCACTTCCTCTTCCTATGGAAAGTTGTATTCATTTGGAAGTAGTTGGTAAGTATAATAATAATTTATTAAATAGTTTTAAATTTATCTGTAAAGATATATTCTTCTTTTAATACAGTTTACACTATAGTTATTCATTTTACTTTAAATAATAAATCAGTTGTTATTGCCAGTTATCAAAATTTTTATTAAATTTTGCAAATAATTCAATAAGTTGTAATGTCATAAATTTTTATACTTTTTATATATATATATTAATTTAACTAATGCAATGATTTATCAAAACAATTAGAATACAGTATACCCTTCAAAATCAAAATGTCTTCCTTTTTAAGATCCAAACTTCATGTAATATCTCAATATAGTTTTTGACTGATGTTTATATGAATTAATATTTACATTCCAAAAACTCAATACAGTGATACCTCAGTTTTCATTGATAATCCATCTGAAAACAATTGTGAAAAAGCAGACCCTTTTTCCCCCAGTTTCATGAAGTTTTAATTAATTAATTAGAGTAATAACAAATTTTAATCGAGGCAGAAGGCAATGGAATGGCCAAGTGGGGAACTAGGTGACAAAGGGGAAAAACCCACGCATCCTTTTTCTCACGATATTCTGATAGATAAAACCGATCAAATAGCCTAGTGAATCAACAATCATTGCAATGTTTGGACTTATTTTACAACCTTAGTCAAAATATTTGATTATTAATGATAGGAACCTGTCAAACGAATAGAATTATGAGGTAAGACGAGCCACAATAATGGCTAGAAAGTATCCATAAATCAGCCAAATTGTCTAGTTCTTGACAGCTTGTATCAGCTGAACCTGGACACAACTAGAACTTAGACCATATTAAATCAAAGTCATCTGAGTCAATTTTCACATGGGACACGTATAAAAGGGTTTGCACCTGATCATTGGGGCAATTGCCGAAGGAACTCAACTAACTACTGGACTTTATCCCCCTGGTCTCGACGTAAGGATCCGCCAACCTTCACCGAAGCTTCACCTTTAGAACAAGTGCCAAAAGAGGTATTAACTTTGAAGTTTTTATGTGAACTCGCTCTCTCTCTCTCAGTCAACTTAGAATTTAACTGTTAGATATAACTGCATCAATATTAGCTACCCACAAGCTCTGTCCATTGTATCTCTGATAACCAGAACTCCTGTTAATGTTATGTTGCATCTGTAACCTTTTTGTTTACATTAAATATGTTAAGTTTATTTAAATGATTGTAATTCTTCATGTGTTGCCGACACCTTATCGACGATGTCACTGACCCTCCCACTCACTATCTAGGAATGTAGGAATTACCATACATTGACCTCACGAGCGGTCATCACCTGGCCGACATTGTAGAAAGGGTTAAGCCTCACGCCTTAACTCCCAACTTCTCACACAATTGATGAAATCCAAAATCGACAAAAACCAAGGCAATTATTTTCATATGAATCAATGTAAATCCAATTAATTCGCTCTAAACACTCCAAAATACATACCAAAAACACATTTTATAGAGAATAAATATTAGGTTTAATACTAAAAACAATAAGAAATTAATATAAAATGAATATAAAAAAGTAATGTAAAGAATAAATGAACATTTAACGTAGCATTTAACATTGCATTTGAAGGTCTGCTCTGGAAATTTTCTTTGGTCTTATGATGGAGCTAAAAGGAAAGGAAAGCAATAGAATTGTTTAGCTAGATGCATGGGTTAATGCTCACACAAGAAACGATGCCACAATGAGCAGGAAAATGCATGGGTTGCCCTGTGTTTTCGCAAAATTAGCAGGTTACGTGGGCACGCTGACAAAATCCAAGGCAACTGACAAAAACCAAGACAAATTTTTTGTGAAAAAATCAACGAAAACCGACACTAATCGAAGTCAATGAAAACTGTATTACTGTACAGTATTTTAACAAAATGTTGTACAAGAAAAGATGGAGTTGCATTCTAAATACAATTGATAAAATGTCAGAATTATGTGCAAATATTTTGAAAGTGCGCCAAGTATCAGAAAATGTAATGTTTATGGTACAACATGCAAGACTGTATTTGTTACTATATACCAAACAACTACTTGTTAACAAATGTATTAATTGTTTGGTGATCAGAAATAGATGTTTTAAACATTTTACAACTTAACATAATGGTTTGTTACTTACATGTAGTTAACCTTGAATGAGATGTACTGTACATATATCAACATACCACATATTTTTTTATTCTTGTGTATGAATGTCTCTTTAATCCAAACAAAAGTTTGGTAGATTATCTCATAGCATCACAGTTAGAAACAACTTTATTTTATTATAAATTTTTTTTTAAATAAAAAAATAAAGTTGTTTCTAATCATGATGCTGTGAGATAATCTACCAAACAAAAGTTTGGATTAAAGAGACGTTTATACACAAGATCCAATATACAGCAACCATAAAACAGAAAAATTGTGAAATACCACATATTGATAAATATCAGTTATTTTATATTTGTGATGTATATTTGTGATGTATTGCATATAAATATTAATAATTTCTGATATTAATTTAAAAACTTAAAAGTGTTGTATCTTACTCATTTTTAGATTATAAGAAATAATTAAGACAAAATTCAGTAGCAAATTGATAAAAAATTTTCATGCATTACGAGTTCTGAAACAAATAAAAATTTTCTACAATGTCAGTATTTTAGAGAAATTTTTTTGATATAACATTTCTTAATTTTGGGAAATTTAAACATATTTTTTGGAGAATTTATTCTGTCAGTCTGGAAGCTGCCATTTAATCTGAAATGATATTTATGATGACATCATCATTAAAAGTACCTCCATGCTTCACATGAAATAGAAAAAAGTAAGCTCTGTTTGAAAACTGTAAAAGTGCCTAGGAAAAACAGGAGACATTGAATAGCGATACATTATAATATCAATTCAAAGAGCTTAGTTTGATAATTAAGTGTTGAAAAATTTTAGAACAGATTTTGAATAAAATCACTGATATTATAGATTGCCTTATTTTAATTAAATAGTAATTAGACTGTTAAAACTGTTGAGAAGTTTTAAATATTGTTTATAGTTATACTATTATATAAATGATCATAAATAGTGACTCTGTTAAAACATTTTAAATTAAAAGATACTTTGTATCATAATATATCATGATATTTTAATCAGATATTGATATATCAGGATATCTATATTTCTGGTAAAAAGAGAAATATCAATAGTATATAGATGTTTTACTGAGCTTTAGGAAATTGGTTAGAGGTTTTGGGTTGATATTGTATGTAACATTAATTTTTCCCATTTAAAATAATAGGAAATAGGTTTCTGGTTAATGTTTTTATGGAAAACATGTAAGTTGCAGAATGTGTTCTTGACATTAAATGTGAGATGCAGTAAAATATTCAGATTTATTCAACAAATTTAAATATTGAAAATATTTTATTTTTCAGAATTGTAACTTTAAAGTTTGTGATTATAAATTATAAATATAAAGATGAAAGTATTCTAATATCAATAATTTTCTATATAGTATTTATTGAATTTGAATCTTAACCATTGTAACATTTTTCTGCTTTTGGAATATATTATAAACTATATCAAGAAGACAAATATTTTTTATATGTGAAGATAAAAATTTTATTTTTGTATCATGATTTCTACAATGTTAATAATAAGGGAGATGATGACCATCATCATGATCACCTGTAGTTCTTCAAACACAACATACATATCTAGATCATTGCTTGTGATTAAAAAGAGTTATATTTAAGGGCAAATACAAATCGCAACAGATTAATTATTCTATATAGCTTCTATTAAATTAATACATATATCTTAATTTATAATAAGACTTTAGGTTCAATGTAAATTACTTAACTGAATAAATATTTATTTATAGTTGTGCGGTTAGATGGAAGCTTACCTGTGAAATTTGGTTTAAGATTAAACCATGATGATAAGTATTCTGTTCTCAAACAACAACTTAGTAATTTATGTGAAATTCCTCCACATCAGTTATTGATAGCAGAGGTATCAGGAGCTGTTATAAAGGTAAGAGTTTTGTTGAAATTTTAGTGAAGATAAAATTATAATATTATTATTATAATTTTTTTAATTTCTGTGTTTTCTGCTATAATTAATGCCACGAGTTTGTGAATTTTTGCTAATACATATATAATGCAATGTGAGTTTTATATTACAATTTTAACTGCAAGTATAATTAATTGCATTAAATATGTTATTGATGATTTAAAATAATCATAATATAATAGATTACTTTTTTGAATAAATCTTATTTGACCTTTTTCTTAATATTTAGATTACATATTATTATGTTATGTAATTATAGAATGTTTTTCTAGAATTTAATACTTTTTCAGCAGTAAATTTAATATCATTTATTACATTCAATCATAGATTAGTGGCAAATATTTTTCAGTTTTATAATATAATCAGCAGATGAGCCTGGTGTTGCCTGGGCAAAAAACAACAACAAAGATTAAGATTATTAGATTAATCCTTCTATTCTAGTAGCCTGGGACACCTCTAGTGGGCATTCTAGCAGCAGCGGTGTCATTCTGTGGTATAAATAATAAATTCCTATTAAAANGTAAGTCGAATTTGCGTAAGTCTGGGTATAATTTCGCAATTTGTGTAAAATCCAAGTCAGATACATGTAAGCTAATAAATGTTCTTGTTAATCTTATCTCGTCTTTTGATTTATTCACGGTTACAAGAAATCACCACATAGAGTCTCTCAAGTCTTCGTAGATATAACAAACACAGAAATAAATAACACAAAATAAATTGTAGCTATGTGTCAATTCCACGCAACACATCTGAACATGTAAGCTGAACAATAGTGTGGGGGGAGTGAGTAATCAAGAGTTGCGTGGCGCTTAAACAAAATACAAATCAATGAGATTTGAAAATCGCATAACTTTGGGTTCGCGTAAGTTGAGGTATTACTGTATTACTGTTTTTATTCAGTAAGTTTCATGTATGTTAGAGAAAGGAAAATAAAAGGAAAGTTCTTGAGTTTTAAAGTTTGCAAATCTAATGTATTTTAAAGTTAATCACATTTGTAATTTTGTTTGATATTTCAAACAAAAATATCTGTCCTTTTTTATAAATAAAAATTGTGTAATCTCTATTTATTCTAATATTTTATTGGAAAACTTTTTATGTAAAAGTTTTTTCATTTACTCAATAAATTTAAATTTTAAGTAGTGAATGTAAACTGGAATTTTGTAAGCCAAATTTCAAATACAGAAATGATTCTTCAATTTGAAACAGAAAAAGAAAATAAATAATAATAACTAGCAAGTAATAAGAAAGATTCAGTAATTGCATTTTTATAAAAATTTATAAATTATAAATTTTGAATACATGTTTGAATATATATTTGAACTTGAAATTTTACATAAACTGTAAACAAAAAATATTTCAGTAATTTAATACTAATTTTAATGTAATGTATATATTATTAGGGATAATAGAACTAATTATATCTAATTACATCTTTAGTTTTGTAATACACCTTTTATGAGCCCAGAACTAATTAACAAAATGGCATTACATAAAACAGTGAAAGTCAAGGGTTGGTTGGTTGCAAGACCTGGACTTCAGTAAATGGGTAAAATAACATGAATGGGATAGTTTGCAACAATGATTATAGTAACAAAAGTTTATTGAAAATATTATGAACAAATGAATGAAATATGTACAAGATGTTAAATAAAAAAGCATGAAAATACATTAATGACAATAAACCAAACAAAGTTATAAAAAATCAGAACTATAATTAGTCCAATGAAACCAAAAACCAAATGTTCACAAAACTTTCCCAGCAATTGGGGAGCTTAAATCTAACTTAATCTCTTGTTTTATAAGCTTTAAATTAGAGAAATAATAATAATAATGCTAATGATGTGGTAAAATAATAATGTTACATATAAAAAAATATATATATATAAATTAAAATGCCGAAGGTCCGAAAGTACATAGTCTCTAGTTCCTATGTCTAACGTCTTATTTATTTGGTGTTTGCTGCTCTGGGATGTGAAACTTCCAATGACTTATAAGCTAAAATAAGCACTAAAATTTTAGATGCCCAATTTTTGGAAATGCTTGAGAAGTGGATTTTATTATTTGGACAAGGAGCTATTTGTGTTTAAGGCTATATGCTCACCATGTTTCATTCAAATATATTTAAAAACTATTCAACTGAAATTATATATAATGAAACCTAATTAAAATAACTTAATTTTGTATCTAATCTAAATTATTAAAGCATCCTAAATGAATAAACATTTTGTGATATATTTTTTTTTAATAGCTTTCACTTTTTCAAGGATTAATTAAATTTTATTCAGTTGTTTCATTAATGGATATTACATGGTTTGAAATAATATATTAGAAGTATCCTACAAATAATATTTTAACTAACTTAAAAATTACATTTGTCAACAAATAATTATTGTAAAGATTTTTTTTATAGGGCCTACAGAGAAAGGTGCAACTGGATTGAATAACTTAGGAAATACCTGTTTTATGAATGCTGCTTTACAGTGTGTCAGCAATACAAGACCATTAACTTTATATTTTACATTGGATAAACATCTGTATGAACTGAACAGGTAGAAAAATGTCAGTTCAAACTCTTAAAAATCGAATTTTTTTTTTAAATTAAGAAATTAATAAAAATTATATTTTGTTGACAAAAATTTATATTTAATAATTTATTTTAGATCTAATCCATTAGGAATGAAAGGTCATATTGCTAAAAGATATGGTGATTTAGTTCATGATTTGTGGAGTGGTACTTCAAAAACAATTGCTCCTTTAAAACTTAGGGTAAGAGATTTATTTTAAATGTTTATCAAATTAATCCAAAATCTAAATTATAAAATATATAAATATTTCATAAATTATTACTTATTTTCTTTTAATCAGTGGACTATTGGAAAATATGCACCTAGATTTAATGGATTCCAACAACATGATTCGCAAGAATTACTGGCATTTCTTATGGATGGTCTTCATGAAGATCTAAATAGGTAAATTAATTAGGCATTTATACTTACTAATTTATAACTTTTAGATTTATTAATAATAATAATCTTAACTATTTGAAAATAGGTAGAATGCAGTTTGTCTCTCAAAAAATACCATTATACATATCTTAAGCATATAATTTTTTGTATTCAGCTGTGTAATATAGTTATTGCATTATTGTATTTTGAAGTCTTGATAAGTCAAAATTATCTCTGTCTTTCTTGACAGGGATAATAAAGAGTCTTACTCTTAAAAATAAGCAATTATTTATGACATTGTCACAACCTGGGCTGCAATTTTTTATCATATTTTTATTTTATTTAATTTAAAATATATGCTCTCTACCTCAAATTAGTAGTGTCTTGCCCCTGTACATCATACTGTTCCTGTAGCAGTAGAATCTTGCTGGTTATCGATCTAACTCTTTTCAGGGAAAATTTTCAAATTAAATAATGTGACTTCCAGTTTGCATTGAAAGTTTATATATAGTTAATTGAGCCTCCTCCTGCCCTAAAACTTTCGATATCTGATCTTGAATTTCATTTATCTAACACCGTTTTCGAGATTAAGGAAAGACAGATGGATGACAGTGGAATTTTTAGATCTACAGTTTTTCAAATTGCAGCTCAAATGGATGTTTTTATTTATTTTAATCTAATAATTTCATATTTATCTTATACTGTGATCTATCAGCTAATATCTAAATGTGTTGTGATGTTATCTGTCAGAGTTATTGTTATTTGATGAAACAACTTAGTTGTTAATTGGTTGAAACTTAGAAACTTTATTTTATGATGATTCTTATTTGATTTGAATTGATGCTGAAATTGAAGATGGAAAACTGTTATCTCAGATAATTATTAGAGATGAATCTTTATTCTTTCTCTATAATCATTAGACTTGAAAACAGAGTAATCAGTGGGTGGAAGAAGGTGTAGGCATAATCACAGAAAACACTTGAACATTATAAATGAAAATCAAAATATTGATAATTTTTACTTTGTATCCATGGTGTTGTGCACAAGAAATTTTATTCATTTTTTTATTACACGAAACAAAAGTTTATCTATTGACACATATCATACGTTTGTTATGTTTTTCCAAATTGCTAAAAAGTAGATGGATTCACTTGATCATGATAATACATTTGATCATTGTGCATGAGTGCTTAATCTGAAAAAATTTTAATGCTTCAACACACACTGTACAGAGCAAATCTTATTTATACATCTTTTCTATATTTTTAAAAATAAAATAATTAATGAAAGAACATCATTTTGGATAGTGGAGGACATTCAAAAAGATGTGACTGAGATACTGAGAGGACTAATAAATGAATGCTGATCTCTTTTGCCAATTTTGAGTTTCAAGACTGGAAGAAGAGATGACATAAGTGTGCCATATTAGGATGGAACTATTATGAAAATATTAATTAATTACGAAAAAATTATGCCTTAATAAAATATTTATAATAAAATTTTTATTATTTTATTGCTAAACCTCTTATTTATGTTGTGTTGTTTTTTAATGTCAGTATTTATGTATTCATTTATTTAGTACAATATATATGTATTAATTTGTATTTGTGTATTGTGTTTTGTATTTAGTTATGTCCATGTAAATAATTGCATCTCTATTGTGACAAATTTCAGGCATAATATAACATTTTTCAAGTTCTATGTTTTATCTTTAATTTGTATTTTTTCTTAACTCCTTAAGCCTCCAGCAATTTTTGGTATTAATGTAATTAAACATAAAAAATACTCAAAACTGAAAGAAAAAACGGAAGAAATGCGTTAATTTTGAAGAAAAAGCTTCAAATTTTATTTTCCTTTGTCTCGCCTTTCTGTGAAATTTGACACTGATGTGTCATTGTTTACACAGCTGGATGACCTTGAGAACAGCTGGTGTCGTATTTCCTGGGACATTCTCATAGACGTCTTGGGAGGAGAAGGGTTTAAAGTAGGGTGAATACTAACTAGACCTATATTTTTAAATATTTTTAAAAAATTACGTTTTTTATTGTGATTCCCGACCCCCTGACTTAATTAAACTTATATATAATAAAATCTATTAATTAAAAAAATTAAAAAACTATTGGAGGTCGTTTTTGACATCAGAAATTAGCTTTAAATAACTTTACCAAAGGAAAATCAGTGCACTACAACTTTAGAACGATGAATGAAATTTGATATCAAACTCCCATTAAAACTATTAAAAAGCAATTAAGCATGAAGCATGTGTCATTAAAGGTAAATTAAAATCGCAATAAAATTTTTTTCTGCGGAGGGAAAAATTTTGAAAAAATTTGGCCTTAAGGACCGCATTTTATGTAACGCTATGTAACTTGCCCGAGATATCTCGGGCTTGGGGCTTAAGGGTTTTAATTAATAATATTTTGTATTCATGACTTGATCTTTTATAAAAATTATGAACCATTTATTTTCTCAAAGAATTTACCTTGATCCAAACAGTAATTTGATGCAGTTTTGTCAGGATTACTCTAAATAAGATCAACAGAATGTCTATATGAACACATGAATATTTCAGTATCTGTTTTTGTGTGTGTGTTATGTTTGGATTAATTATATAAAGATTTAACAGTGTTTGTTTTTTAATTATACTTTAAGTTGTTTTGATGTATCTGTTATTTACAGAAAAATGTTTACAGTTATTTGTATTTGTGATGGAGGTATATTATGTTAACAAGATTGTTCTTTCTCTCTTTACAAGGGGAACTCAATCTTTCTGTAATGTATTTTAGTTTTTGTTTTATTTTTGTATTTTATGAGTTTGACTGTTGGTATCCTCAATTTACTTTATTTATTTGGTTTTTATATAAATAAAGCAAAAACTGTGCAGAGGTTTGGTATAAATGAAAATTGACAAAAGTTTTCAAATTATAATAAATTAACTTTCATCAAAATTAACGTACAGTGGAACCTTGCTTAACAAGCATAATTTGTTCCAGAATTGTACTCGTAATGCGAAACACTTGTTAAGTGAAACAATTTTTTCCATAGAAATTAAAGTAAAATACGATAATGCATTCCACGCCAAAAAAAAAACTCAAATATTTTATGTATGGTGTTTATTCAAAGAAAATTGTACAATGTGTATTGTTAAGGAGCGTGAAGCATCATCATTTTTTCTTCTAGCATTGAATGAACCAACCTAGAATGAGAATTCGATTTGCAGAAAACAAAAAAATCACAGATAATATGTTTGATAAACACGCCAAACGATATGCCAAATTCTTGGACTATGTAAAGGCTATAATTAAATAATAGAAATTAATTAATTTGACTAGAGGTAGGCAATTATGCTTCCATCTAATATTAAATTTAATAATTATAAAGAGTTAATTTTTAATTCAGACATTTCTAAAATTTAATTTGGAATTGGTTATTAAATTTAATACAAGATGGCAGCATAACTGCCTACCTCTAGTCAAATTAATTAATTTCTAATACAGAAGAACCTCGAAAACTCGGCTCTCGATAACCCGGCACTCCGGATAACTCGGCCACATCCTGGCAGGGCATCTACATATTGATTTAATTAATTTTCATTATAGACAGCTTTATAAAAGTATAAAAGCTCTCATAAAGTATTTTTCTGAGGTCTGTCTTATCAGGTAAATTACTGTACACAGTGTATTCATTAATTCTCATTTTCATGTAGTAAAGGCTCTATACCTTCATAAAGGA